AAGACCTGACCTCCCTCTCCAAACCCGTTTACTGCGGGTGGTACCTCCCGTTGGTGTGGAGCGCCTCGGAATAGGATGGGGTGGGTGGGAGGAATAGGATGGGGGGGTGGGAGTCCTTACGCTGCCGAGCAAAAAGCGGCCGTTCGGGTGAATCCCGAGCATCGCGCCTTTGCCAACTTCAGCCTTTCCAGCAAGTCAGCAACTGCCGGGAAAAGGGCTCGCTGCTGCTGTATTACTGACGGAGCATTTTAAGCCCATCGTCCATGTTTAAAAGCTAATTTTGTTTTCGTTGGTCAGTGCCAGCTTATATAAACCATAAGTAAACAAACTCGGAGCCCTAAAGGTGATGAGGTTTTCGATGGAGCCGCAAGTATGCGGTGAAATTGAGTAAGCTGTTTACTCGTGTTTGGAAGAGTTTTTGTCTCTTTTCCAGACCTTGTGTAACCTTCAGATTTGTTGTGAACAGCGATCAGGCACTTCAGCAAATATAAAGTTGGGTCTTGAATCAAACCTCGGGGTGGCAAACATCCTCACATCCGTAATTGCTCTTCGTCTGGACGATAACAATTCCTCGTTGAGATAAGCGGTTCTTGAATTTAGACCACTGCTTTGTGCGAATCCCCTCACGTTTTCTTATCATACGACGGTCGTTCGTTGGCTTGTCTTTGCTGCTTTTGTTTTTCTAAATCTTGCGAATCAGTTTTTAGTCTTGTTGCTGTTGCATCTAAATGCAGAACTATTACATTTGTTAGTTCTACTAGGAAACTTAATGGGGAAAAAAAAAAAAAAAGTGCTGCTATTCCAACCAGAAGCAGCATGAATTGTTTTGATCCATATATGGAGAGACTGGAAAAAGCGGTTCCCCTCTTCGCTGCTATCTGAGAAGCAGTGCACAGTATCATATTGAAATATTTTATACGCCTACATAATTTCTTTTTTGACCTCAGCTGAGCTGAAGCATCGAGGCTCCAGTTTCTGAGCCTACATGTGTTGTTACCATAACATTTTAAATCTAAATAGTTGCGTGGTTTTGTTTTTTTTAAGGTACAGTGGAAGGTGAAGGGAATACTTAACTTTTTTGTTTAAATCCAGCACCCTATTGAAGCCTTTGCAGGAGGAACCATTGTCTCATTCCGTATTTGTCTGGAGACCTGATGTGTGAAAGTTTAATATATATTTTTTGAATATATTAAACATGTTGGGGTACTAATTGTGCAGAAGAATGCTGTCTGCTCTCAAACCTTTGCTCTAGAACCAAAAGTATGTGCCTGACCTGTATATCTCTGAAAGCTCTCTGTTTATTTAAAATCGGCTCATTACTGTAACAGCCAACGACTTGAAAACTTGCTCTGGGATACCGAACCATTGGTTGTGCAGATACTTGCATGTGAAACAGTTTGTTACTAAAATAAACACAGACATAAGGGCTTTCAGGATCAGGGCCAACTTCGAATAAAGGGGAAGCAGTGCTTGCAAATAGTGCTATCAACTGCAAAAACTGCAGCTGGAAGGCTTGTCTGGAAGTGTACCACTGGGGTGAGATTCAGTGAACGTTTACAGTCGGTGACCTCTGGCAGCATGTTGGCTAATTGGGAGGGAGAAGGGGCAGTTCTGAATAGGTGTGAGAGGTGGTGTGTCTCTGCAAGCAGTAGGGTTACTGGAGTAGGCTGGAGGTACTTGCTTATTAATGTTTCTGCGGTAAGCTTTTCCAGATGGCTTGTTAGGGATGGATGGATGTTGAAAACGAAGTCGAGTTTGCTGCTGCTGGGACCGAAGGGCAGCCTGAGGCTGACACCAGATGTGTCACTGGGTGTAATTTGGGCACTCTGTACTGCTTAGGAGCCTGCTGTTTGGGGAATTGCAAGCTGTCTTAACCAGCTCGGAAGGGCCTGCACTTCTGCAGTGAAGCAGGAAGTAACAGATATTTTTGTTTGTGGAAATACAGCTCTCAGATGCTCCATCTATTTATGTTGGTGGAGCAGGGACTGCTCCTTGGGCTGTCCGTGAAGAAGCGGAGGAGGGCTCTGAGGTGGTCATCAGCGGCAGGAGGATGCCTGCCTGAGAGGTCCCTGATCCGAATGTGGGCAGAGCCCTATGCCCACTGCAGATTATTTTCCTGTCCTTTTGGTTAGTTCTTACTTGAAATAGCAGTGAAATGATGCGAAGGGGAGCCTTTACAGTGGCACGCTTACGTTTCCTTGCTAGGGGTGGTGGAAGGAACATGGTTGCTGCTAATTCACTGAAACTTTGCTGGAGGTCTGCATCTGCAGCCTGGCTTTCACGTTTTCCTCAGATTCTGTTAATTGACTGATATAGGCCCCAGTGTAGCAAAGCAATTCAGTGAAGGTGTGCACAGGCCTCAATGTGAGGATGGTTGAGTTTGTTGTTTCTTTGAACCAAGTTAATTCTTCAAATCAGTGTTTGTATTGGAGTTTTGCTAAACAAGCAAACCTCATTAAAAAAAAAAAATCACCAAATGATGATTCTTTCATCAAATGAAGTGATGGTCTTTTAGACATTGTCAAGGATCTCTTCTGTCATTAATGTACAAACCGAAAAACAGGATCAAAGGGAAGGTGTTCAACTGACTTTTTTCTGTCTCCATGTCTAAAGCAAACTTAGCTGAATTTACAGAGCTTCTCCTCCAGAGAGGTGTCTGGATGTTAGTGTCCGTTGTTGGTGTGTAAATAATTTTTTGCTGAGAGTAATGATCAGGCAGTATCAAATAGCTGCTCCCGACTGGAATTTCCTATTGCAGAGGGCTTCGCATAAAAACAAGCTGTCCTTTTTTTGAGCGCTTGGTTATCCCCATTCAGTCTTAGTAACTGGCAAACCCTGTCTGGGTTGTCCTCCTCTGCAGAGGAGCGTGAGGGTGACCTGTGTTCCCTGTTTCAATTTGGGTGTATCTGCAGCCTTCTTCCCGGTCCTAGTGAAGGAGCCAATGCTTGCTCACTCCTTGCATGATCCCACTTCCCTGGATGGGGTGCAGTGCTGCTGGGGAGGTGTGACACTGCTGCTGAGCAGGCTGCTTGGAAACCTTCTGACAAGGGGCTCAAGTGGCTTGTTCAACGCATATTAAATGTTTGGTCGTTGCCTTAAAGAAATGGTGTCAAGTATTGGGAGCAGTGGATGGGATTTGATGAGATGTTGCATGAAAATTTTTTTGTGTAATGAGATATTTAAAAACTTTTCTACATTTCTTCTTCCTCCTTCCTTCCGTTCATGATGATGTGTTTTGTTTTACTCCCCACAAATCAGGGGTTGCTTCTGTCTTAATTATATGATGAAGCTGGTAGGGACAGTCCTTTGTGGAGCTTTTTAGTGCAAGACGTATCCTCACCTTTATTTTGTATCTAAATCTAGAAGTGAATTTCTGTGGGATTTTTTTGTAGCCATTTTAGCTACGCATTGTACTAAAACCAGGGGCTATTTCTTTACTGGCATAAGTAAACTGTGGAAATGCTGCATAGCAACTTTCCAAACCAATTGTACCCGAACTTACACAGAAGTGTCTGCTTTTTGTTCAGCTAAGTGAGCATGACCTTTCAGCAGGGCTATCTCACTGCTATTTATCTAAATTACATGGTGTTAAAAATACAGCCAAACAAGTCTGAGTCTTTATTAATTGTGTGCACATTCTGCTTTGACAGGCTGAAAGACAGCTTTATGATCACATCAACTTATCTTTGCCCTTTCGGGTGAGGTCTAATACCAGTGTCATACAACAGCGTACGTGTTCATCTGTCAAAAGCAAAGCGATATTCTAAACTTTTGTCTTCCCTTCTCTTTTTGCCTTTCTTCCTGGGAACAGATTTAATAGAAAATGTTTACATAGCTTCGAGAAGCAGGAAGGATCCCCAGGCCCGCGAGGTCCCCGAGCCCAGGCCGCAGGCGAACAGCATTACCGTTTCTAAGAAACGCAGCTGGCTGCAGCAGAGCACGCACCGACCTCCTCCTCCTCTGGAAGAAGAAAACGCCTGTAAGGAAACGCACGGGGCTGTTATCCCGGTACCCAAATCTCCCATCCTGCTGCCTGAACCTGCAGTACCATGGGCTCCTTCCATGTCACCAGTGGAGCGGGAGCGCCCCACACGAAGCTGCGCTCGTCTTGGTGCTCTGCGAGGCACCGCAAGCCCCGTTGTGCCGAGGAGTGCTACTCCAGACTTTGGAGAGGATAATGATGCAGATGATGAAGGAGAAATATGGTACAACCCAATCCCTGAAGATGATGAGCCTGACTTGCCGAGGGTCTGCCTTTCTGCTGCGAATAGCCCTGTGGCTGTGGGCTCCCCGGTGGTTCGGTACAAAACCCCGCCTGAGGGTGACTCGGGCACGGCTCCAGGACTTCATGAGGGCCCTCAATGCCTCACGGAGAGCACAGGGAACAGTCACACAGCTCAGCCCAGCGAAGGGAGTCAGGCTGATGCGGTGCGTCCTGGGGACCACGTGCAGCAGCAGAGGTTTGCCTGCAAGGCTCCTGGTGTGCTGGCAGTAGAGGACAATCCTGTCTTTAAGTGCCCTTCAGCAGGTAAGAGGGTTCAGGAACATAAGTGTTATATCCTCTATTTTCTTTTAGAGGAATAATAACTCTTCCTTACGTCTCTCATAGAATCACAGAATGTTTTGGGCTAAAAGGGACCTTAAAGACCATGCAGTTCCCAACCCCCCTGCCATGGGCAAGGACAACCTCTACTAGACCAGGTTGCTCAAAGCCTCATCCAGCCTTAACACTTCCAGGGATGGGGCATCCACAGCTTCTCTGGGTAACCTGTTCCAGTGCCTCACCACCCTCTCTGGGAAGAACTTCTTCCTGATATCCAATCTAAACCTCCCCACTTTCAATTTAAACCCGTTACCCCTTGTCCTGTCACTACAGGCGCTTGTAAAAAGTCCCCCTCCTGCTTTCTTATAGGCCTTCTCTTTCTTCTCCTTTTATCTTTACCAAGCAAATTTCTGGTGGAAATGCATGTCAGGTTCATAAAAAAAAAAAAAAACTCAAAGTATGAGGCTGATACCTAATAAATGTAGAGCTGCAGAGTGGTTTCTCAGTTTGTTCATGGCACATCCAGGTGTGGTTGTTCCCTGTGCTCTTTGGCCCCCGCCTTGCTGAAGACAAAGGTTTTACAAAGCAAGCTTGCTAATTGGTTTACTTTTTGTTAGCTAGTGTCTAACCCTGGACTTGGATTCCAGCCTCAAAGCTGCTTGATGTCTGCAGAGGTTTCTTTAACTTGCTGTCTGGGACTTTTTCATAAAGACTTTTTGGAAGACCATATGAACACTGTTCATCATGTTGCTTTCTGTAATTGCTGTCTTGTTGACTGTCTCGGGCTAATCTAATAGACTGGGGAGGAGTGGTTTTCACTTTGAGAAGCCAGCCTCTTTGTTCCCTGTTATCTTTGGCTGAGTGGTTGATAGTCTCATTTTCATAATTCCATTAGTGTGTGAATTCAGCATCTTATTGAAGATTTTTCCCAGTCGATTAAAAGAAACCACGAACAAAATTAAAACCACACTAAACAAAAGGAAGCAGAAAAAACCCCAACCCTTTCCAAAAAGGTAGTATTTTTAATTACTGATGTGTTTTATATTATCTTGACCTTAACTCTAGTATCCTGTTGAAGGTTAGAACCTTATCATGAAGTTCAGGACACAGGGAATTCCAGGTTCCACCCTTTGCAGAAAGTTCACACTTTCTTTGTGCTGACATCTAAGAGCCTGTATTTCTGCCTGGCTCAGCAGGGAGGACCTGAAATCCCCGTGTCAGAGATGAGTGGTGCTTTGCCCTCCATAGGAGTCTCCAGTCCTGGTTGCCCACGTCCAGTCTCGCCATCCCAGAAGGCTTCTGGCCCCACATCCCTGCATGCCGGGAGCTGCTGTGCCTGGATTCCCAGTGCAGAGATTGCTTCTGGGAACAGGGCTTGTTTTCAAAGGCACCAAAGCAACTGCTGTAAACAGCAGAAGAAAAAAACGTTTGCTCTTCTGGGAGCTCACATTTTGTTCTTTTTGTGCAAATGCTGCAGATACAAATGTATTTTTAGTTGCAAAGTGTGTTGAAGTTACCGGGTGTTTATTTAGAAATAGCTCACTTTATAGCTGCATTAAATACTTAGACAAGTTATATTTGCTTGCAAGACAGATGGAACATCATGTTCTTAGGTAGATTTTTGTTGTTGTTGGAGCTCAAGGCACTTTGGAGAGGTCAGTAAGTACTGTTATTTGGGGAAGCCCTGTGTGTCCTGCAAAAACTGACCTCATTTAGGTGGTTAATCTCTCAATATATAGGTGGCTTTTTTTTTTTTAATTCCTTCTTGTAAGAAGAAAAAAGTCAAAATTGTTTTGATACTGAGGAAACATTTCTTTCTGAAAGCAAAATTACCCATTTAAAGTATCTCATGAAACCAGGTGAAGAGTGTTATACATTTCACCGGATTGGTTTGTTATGCATTGAGTTAATTAAGGTATTGCAAAAGGAGAGCTGCATTTGAATGTATTGAATAGTGATCACATTGAATAGATTAATTGATGATGAAGTGGATCCCTGCTGCTCAATAATTGGCTTTATTATGGAGAAGGGGCTTAGTAGCTCTTAATCCAGTTGAGGTGTCTACAGTTATTTTCAGTCAAATTTAAAACGACAGCTCATCCGCACAAAATTACTGCATGAAGGGCAACATGGCCAGTTTAATTTTGTGTTACGACCTTGTTTGAATTATACAACTACTGCATAACAGATGTCTGTTCCTGGAGAGCTGGGCACATTAAGCAGTAACTGCTCCGGGGAAAGGTCTGCTTACCTGTCTTATTGAGATGATGTTATGTGTGTCAATATTGATTATCATTAGGGTCTGAGGTATTAGATTCTGAGAAGCATAGACAGAAGAAAGTGGGGTGCTATAAAAGCCAGTAAAATATATAGTTGTTCATGTTCTCATTTGCTGTTTTCTTTGGATAATGGAATCAATTTTACAGTTAAAACTTTAAACATTGTTGCCTTACTTGGATTTCCAACACTGTAGAGAGAAAATGGTTGTGATTTTTTTTTGAGATGGTATTTATTAGAAGATTAAGAAAAAAAAATAAATTATAAATTCAGTTACTGGGAGTCTTTCCAAACACAGCAGCAAAATTTCCTGTAAGTGTCATCAATAAAATGGGTCGTAGTTGTAGAGGTGCTAATTTGCCTGATCAGGCTTAACACGAGGCATGAACGGTGTAAATTAATCTGGTTACTTTCTACAGTAAATGCCATTTATGTTTTTAGGATTTGTCAGGTAATTCCTTAGTGAATAATTCTAGCTTGGGAAAATAATTCTTGTATTTTGCTTGTAAGAAGCACACAAAAGGGTAAGAACAAGAAGATAACTTGTTTCTGAGTTAATATAAAAACGTAGTGCCAGCTTCTGCTCTAAGGTCTGAGAGAAGAGTTTAAGTAGAAAGGACCCTGGAGGCTGTTCTTAATTTGGTATCTCCTTGTACAGGCAAAATGGTCCTGATTGGAAAATAGGAATGTGTTTTGTTCTAAATGCAATATGAAAAAAATTCTATACATAGGGTTTTGCGTATATAAAATGTTAATTTTCTTACAACTGCTTAGGACTGAACCCTGAACTCTATGTTTTTATAGATGTGTGCATCGCCTGCAAAATGTTGAAGAACAACACCCCTTAATAATGCCGGCTCCTGTGATAGGTTCTCATTCTGGAGCTCTGCAAAAGTGCCTTCTGAAGAATTTGTAATATATTGCTTTTGGGGAGGATTACTGTTGGAATTAGTGTCCACCTAATCAGTGGAATCATCTCACCTGTCTCTATCACAGACATCCTGGTAGGGCTTGCACGTTGTAGGTTGCCAAGATCTGGACTGTGCTTGTGATACTGAAAATGTACGTGTGTTAGCTCTCTGGATGGAAAATCCTGGTAGGAATCACCGAGCAGATTTCTTTTCAATGCTGTAGGAAGTGAAGGTTGATACCATGTTCCCTCTTAACCCCAGTATGTGTCAACTGGAGCTTGGTTTAACTCGCATTAAAGCTGCAGTGCTCTTCCTCCACTTAGACCACGACCACTATCCTGGTTTCCAAATACATCTTTTGAGGCTAGAGCAGGCGAACAGATGTTGCAAATAAGCTTTCAGCAATATACATAGAGTATACGGGGTAGCAAATCCTTTCCATCAATTTCCTTCTACATGTTGGAAGTGTTATTTGCTTAATTTTTTTTCCCCAAGTAGAAGGTGCTTTGAGTTAACTGTTTTCCAAGTGCATGAGGCATTTTTCATGAGACACAAAAGCATTCACGTGAAATACCTGCGTAATGTTTGAGCTATAAAAATGGTTTGGTGTGCGGCAGAAAGGTGCCTCTGCTCCCTCTTTCTCCCGCAGAGCTGAAGCCAGTTTGTTCGTAGGTTTGTGCACGTGCTTTTGAAGGTTGAGTGCTTATTCATTCATGTCTCTTTGATCCGTGGGGAGACAATGCCATAAAGAGCTCCTGGTGAAAGAGGCAAAAGGATAAAGCAGCTGTGGAGTGGAAGCAGTTAATTTAAAATTGCTATTGCTTTTTCCAGTTTGTGATTTGTACTGAGTGACTGTTGATATCCTCTGACTGGGGGAATAGGGTCAAAGCTGCTTTTCATGACAGGAAAGATGCAGCGAGGTTAGGAAATCCTTGTGAGAGCAGCCCAAAGGGACAGTGCTGGGTGTCAGCCGCGGTGCCATTGCTCGCGGCTTGGTGCGATGCCAGCATGTGAATCACAGAATAGAGCTGACCGTGCTTTATGTGCATCACAGAGTTGTTAGTGCCTGAAATATCTGCAACAAACTCATGCTCGTTTGTAGATACTGAGCTCTGAGTCTGGTCAGAGATCTCAAGTGCCATTATACATGTTTGTTCCGCTCCCTAACAAGGTACCGCTGTCAAGGATGCTCTGAGGATTGCCACCGTGATGAAGAGCAGGCAGTGGTCAGCCCCTTCACCTTGGCGTGCATGAGCAGGGGGTTATGCTATATTCCCTTCCCGTTTTAATTAAATGGGCTATTTAAAGCAATTTGTCTTCTGCTCCTGTAAAAGTGATCCCTGGGTTGATGGGGTTTATTACAGCTTGCTTAATGTCAGCATGTATAGTATTTGAAGAAAACAACGACCCTTATAGAGTTCTTAGTGATAAAATTTTTTAACCTTTTTAATAATTTCTCCGTTTCTTGACTCTGAAGCATTATGTGGGATAGAACTGAGAGACTGCATTGGTTAAAGAATTTTTTTATGGGGTACAAAGACTTTGTTCTTTTACAGGTTAAAAGAGGAGACTCTTCCATTTATTTAGTTAATTAAGATGTTACCTAGAAATAATTCCATTCTATCTCAGTTTTAAAATTACTTTTTTCAATGTTTTCTTTACTGGTGTGGATAGAGGTAATTATCAGATTCAAACAACATCAAATATGTAGCATGAATCCTTCTCCTAGTGCCATTTACAGTTCTACTGTGAAGTTTTTATATTGGAACAGGTTTGGAACTATCTGAGGATTAAAAAAAAAAAAAAAAGTGCCTGCCCCTGTATAAATTAACAGCCTTTGACATCGGTAGAGCTGTGCTGTTATGTCAGTTGAGGATCCAGATCAGCATTTCTCGTGGAATCCAGCACAGAAAAACAGTAGCCGTTTTTCACTCAGCCATTGTTTGCTACAAAACCAATATTGAGACATTTGGGCTTCTCTGTTCTGATGAAACAATGTAGACAGAAGGGAGACTTTGGTTTTGAAAGTTATAACTGCTCAGTGTAAGCTGTATTTTCCCCCCTCCCTCCCCCTTCCCCCTTTTCTGAATGAAATGGCTTAGATCTTCAACACTAATGCCATTATTCTTTGTTTGCAATGCTAGGTGTAGTATACTTACTAAGCATGTCTGGAGAATAGTAGGAAAAATTAGATTACCTGTCAGGTTTGGTTTGGTAGGAACTCAGGATTTGCAGGAGCGATGAGAGTGGCTGTTTGGTACTTCAGTAGCTTGCTGTAATAAGAAACCCAGTTTTCTGACTTACTCATTCACCTCAACTTGTTGTCCCAAAAATAAATTACAGGTTAAAATAACTCAGGAACCTTACCTTAAGCGATAAGGAATGTTGGATGTATACCAGGGTAATCAGATGTGTCTGTAAAGCAGCCTGTGTTGCTGGCAGTGGGTATGAGGGTGATATATGTGCCCAAGCACGTGTAAGCAGTGTTAAGTAGGGTTGGACAAGCGTTTTTACAAGGCTAAATCACTGTGCGTGTCTGGCAGGGGCTGTGTTGTAGGTGCTTAAGATGGTTTGAGTCCTCTCTTCCCTTGGGGCAGCGTTTTGTAGGGGTACGGTCTGTCAGCGCCAGCCTCCTCGGCTGAGGGGACGGCTGGCCGGATGGGGTGGGAGAGAAGGGGGTCAGGGTTCATGAAGCACTGTGGGCTGTCCGTGTCTCTTTGGCCATGAACAGGCTTATCCCTTCATGCAGCTGTATTGCTGAGCGAAGTAAAAGGTGGCTTTACTAGTCAAGCTGAACAAATAGCTGATGAAAGCAGTCACTTACGATGTCAAGTCACTTTGACCTGGATTGCGTCGTCCTTCAAAAGCTTTTTTCCCTCCCCATATTAACTGTACTGCTAAGGCGTCTGTCAAACGAAAGGTAAATGTAGTAAAGATGTTATATCGTAGAACAGCCCAGGTTGGAAAGGACCTCAGATCATAATCTGATCCACCCTTTGGTGGGGAAGGGAGCATAGATGGGATTACCTAGCACCCTGTCCAGTCCATTTTGATACCCCAGTGATGGAGACTCTATCTAATGTCCCTGGGGACAGTGTTCTATCAGTGATTGGTTATTCTCACTGCAAAAAACAAATAGATTATACGCACACATATAGAGTCAGCTGCATCACATAAACCTGACCATCCCCTCGCAGCCCTGGTAGTGATTTACGCGACAGCTGCCTCCTGTGTTTTATCTTCTCCTACCATCCTTCCTTAAGGGTAATTTAAAAGTTATTAAGCTACTAGGTTTGGATGTGTGGTGGCAGAGCAAGTGGGGACGGGGACAGCGAGGAGCCAGTTTGCAGCACAGCCTTATAACTTGGTAAAAGGAACAGACACAGCTCAGTTCCTCTGGCACGCTGGTGAGAAAGCGGTATGGGATGGGTAGGCTGGGAAGTGAGGTGTTACTAGGCTGTGCTACACCTCCTTCTGCAGCTTGTTCAGAGCTGGGTCATGCACACTCTTTGAAACTGCGTGCATACCTCAGCACATTGCTGGCTTCAGTGGGACAACATGTGGCTGAATGCTGATGGGAATAACATCCTGCATAATACTCCACTGTTAAGTTTCTTCCAGCCACGTATTAAACTGTTTGGTGCTGAATGCAGCAGAAACTGGACACATGAAAGTCAGAGTGTTAAATTGACTCTTCAGTTTTAATGAGCTGAGGGGATGTTTAATTTGCTGGCCTGCTTTCCAAGCCTGTGCCCGAGACTTTTGGCAGGAAGGGAAGATTTATGTGAGCGGGCTGAAGTATGGCCCCGACTGCTGCAGAGCGCTCCAGGCCAGCCCACCAGTGGGACTGTGCTGCGATTTGCAGTACAAGGGAAGGCTTTGTCTGCCTTTATCAAACACCACATTTCTAACCAGCAGCTTGCCAGGACAGCACAGCAGGCGTGCTAGAAATAGCCCTTCCCCTGTGAGGGAACTACTTCCATGAGATGCAGGACTAAATGAGTTTTCCTCTGTTGCTCTGGAAAACAGATTCTGTGTGCTATTCTTAATAACTGAAACTTTCTTAAGTTTCTTAAAAGATACTCTTTTAAGCAACTACCTGCAACAGTTATTAAAGCCAGACTTCTGCTGGGACTAGAACTAGTCTTTGTAGGGTTTCTTGGGGTGGAAAAACCAAAACCACAACAAATCACTTTGGTCAAAGACCAGATTGCCTGACTTAACTGCTTAAGCTAAATGAAGTGTAAGAAGTAAGTTAGAGTTAAATGGTGAAAATTAATTTGGGTGAACAGGGGACTTGTAAAAATCACTAGCTGTATGGTAATTTGGGCCTAATTAGTTTAGAATTAAATCAGTAAGCCTTTGAGAAATCTGTAAGAGAAACCTCTGTTAAGCATCATTTGCCAAGTATCTTGTGAAAACACTTCTTTTTATATGCTGTAAATAGACTCTCCCTTTCCTTGGCTAGCAAGGGGGGATGGCAGAAGGGGTGTGTGTCTCTGTGAGCTCGTCAGGATAATTGCACCACACAAGGTTCGCATGCTAACCTGGGTTAGAGGCGACTGAATGGGGTGGTTATTGCTAACAAGAACTGCTTTTGGTTTCTCAGGGAATAGAAGTCTCTTAAGTGAAAGTACTCATGTAATTTTATTACTGTCTATCATTCTGGCCTCAGTTCCCCTCTTGTGTGCTCATTAACTCATGTAAATTCATTGCCTTTCCTACAGTCCTTACTGCTTTATGCTGGTGAAAGCGAGAAAAGCTTGAGCTATAACTTGATATTTGGATTTCCTTGAGTACTGGAGCATGAGGAGAACTGCAGGTTCTTGACTGTGTGCAGTACTGGCTTATGTCAGGTTGCATTCCTTAATTAATTGTCTTTTACTGCTAAATTGGGGGAGCTTTTTTTTTCTCTTTACCTCTTTAGCATCACTGCCTAGTGTTCTGATTTTTTTTTGTGTGTGCACCTTGAAAAGTGGGTGGCTTCCCACAAGGACACCACTTGGGAACAATACCGCTTCAAACTCTGTCATGGTATGGTTGTGCCAGGAAAGATGGGAAGTTGCTGGCAAGAATGAGGCAGTGACAGATGCAGCTTTTGGAAGGAATAAATCCTTGATGTTTGTTCCTCCTCCTTTGTCCTGTGGTGGGAAGGAGGAGCTGAGAGAAATGGAGGTGAAGGTGTGAGATGCCACCTGCATCTACACGGAAGAGATGTAGGGCTCTTTGGGGCAATAGACATGCACAAGAGTATAGCCGTATTCTTCATGAGAGATGAGTGTTTTTCCTCTAGGCCTGAGAGGAGTGAGCAATGATGATGCCTTGGCTACATAACTAACTGCTCCATAGACAAGGGTACATTTGCCGTATTCCACTGGTTTTCCGTTTAAGACTGGTTTTGTTGTACCTGTGCCCCAGGAATGCAGCCACGTCTGCTTGTATGGGGGATACAGCACAAATGGATCGAGCTGAATGCAGCGGGTGAGAGAACCTCATTTGTTTACAAGTAGTTTCTGGCCTTTTCATCTGCATAAAGCAGAACAAATCTGGCTTTTGAGTAAGAACTGCCAGTTTTGGTAGAATGAGTGAGAAGAGCACACCTTTCTGAATGCTCCTGAACATCTGACTGATGATGGCTGTCTGAATGAATTGCGCTCACCGCTTTATGGCAAATCGATATGGTTTCCCCTAGTTCAAGATTTATTTTTTCATTGCTGTAAATGGCAGTTGCCGAGCAGTTTGAAAATCATTATCCCTTCTCTTTTCTTCTAAAGGGTCTGGAGTTGTACTTGCACACAAGGCTGATATACCCTCAATGGAGGTTTCTCCTCCAAGCCCCAGTCCTCTGAAAAAAAGCGGATCAATCAACTGGCCTTTCCCTGATAAAATTAAATCTCCCAGGACTGTGAGGAAGCTGTCCATGAAGATGAGAAAGCTGCCAGAGCTGAGCAGGAAACTGAGTGTCAAGGGAACTTCAAGCCATACTAGCTCAGATAACCCTCCTTCCCTGCTGAAAGGTGGCTGCCGGGGTACAAGCCATACAGTGTCTTTGCCATCTTCTGGAAACTCAACCACAGCTGCCAGCAGCAATGTGATAAGTCGCTACCATCTCGACAGCAGCGTGTCGTCGCAACACACCTGCAAAAAGAAAAGCTCGAGGAGCTCCAAATCCTTCAACAAAGGTGGTTACCTCAGTGACGGCGACTCTCCTGAACTTATAACAAAATCAGGTAAACATGGGCATGAAACCAAGTGTGGCAAAGGAAAGGAGAGCCTTCCAACTAACAGTGGTAAAACAGAAATAGATATCGATGCTTTCAGACACTATAACTTTTCTGATCAACCCAAGTGCTCTCAGTACATCTCTGGACTCATGAGCATTCACTTTTATGGTGCTGAAGACTTAAAACCACCAAGGATAGACTCAAAAGATGTCTTTTGTGCAATACAGGTTGACTCGGTAAACAAAGCAAGGACGGCCCTGCTTACATGCAGGACAACGTTTCTAGATATGGACCACACGTTCAACATAGAAATTGAAAATGCTCAGCACTTAAAGCTGGTGGTGTTCAGCTGGGAACCCACCCCACGGAAAAATCGGGTGTGTTGTCACGGAACCGTGGCTCTTCCCACTCTCTTCCGAGTGACAAAGACACATCAGCTGGCTGTTAAACTGGAACCGAGGGGGCTTATTTACGTCAAGCTGTCGCTCATGGAGCAGTGGGAGAACTCTCTTGATGGTCTCGATGCAGATCGGGAGCCCATCATGTTTGGGGTAGATGCTCGAAAAGTTGTAGAGAAGGAAAATGCGGGCTTGATGGTGCCACTTTTGATGCAGAAGTGCATCCTGGAGATTGAAAAGAGAGGCTGTCAGGTAAAGTGTGTATTTTCATCTGTTTTGTTAATATTTCGGTGTTGGTATAGCTGTTGTTACAGAGTGTGAGTGGGAAAGGGGAAATTAAAAACTCCTTTAAAGGTGATTTTGTCTTTGCTGCCCTGTTTTGGTGAACAGTAGTCACTGTAATGTGGGAACAATGACAGGACTGTGAAATCAGTGCTTGCAGCTTGGCCTTGGAGGGGAGATGTGTGCTTGCTCTCAGTAGTGCTTTAGGACGAGGGGTGGTTAAACGAACCTGCAGCCCCCAGCATGCGGTCACACTCAGAAGGCAGAGCTGAGAACTTGAAAATGCCTTTTTCCCAGATCACTCCCCAAAGACATACTGTGTCTAAATGGAAAAGTGAGTATAATGTTCCCTCCTACCTGAAACAGAGGCATTGTGTGTGGTGACAGGAAGTGGCGAGGACAGGTGTTTGACAGAACTCTACTTCCACGTGTGCAATCTTAAGCCAACGTGCCAGAGACTAGCCTCTGCTGTCACTTTGTGTATGGCATCAAGATAAGGAGGAGACCCTGAGAGGCTGAATTAGTTGTTTCCCCTTCACTGCTCCTTGCTTTTCTTCAGGTTGTTTTCAGAATTCAGACGGGGTAAGACAGCAGTGCCCAGTGTTCTGATACAGTTTATTGGTTGGTGTAACCTAATGGACAAAAATCCTCATGGGAAATGAGGTATGGGAATGAATCCCCAGTTATGGGTGCTAGACACAAAGTCTGTTAGGAAGGAAGATGCACACAACACCCTCCTTGGCAATTCATTTGAAACGGGTGGGAGGACTCTTGCATGCCCTTCAGGGCATGTCTGAGCCCTCAGTTTCTTTTAGACCTGCTCTTGCTCAGGTGGAATTGAGAAGTAATCACACCTACTGCTGTTACTGTTTTAAATTGCTGACAGGTTGGATGTAGTTCCAGGTGTTGAGAGATTAACTCTGCTATTTATAACCTAGGTCATAAACCGTAGACAGAAATGGTATTTCTGTCTAATTACTTTGCTGGAAGTCGCTACTCATAACGACTTTGTGATTCTTACTGTGAATGCTTCTCCTAACGTTATGCAAATCAGTGGAAAAGAGAAGTTTTATTCTTTCCAATGTGTGTGTCCCAGGGTTTCAGCATTTTATTTTGGGCTTATTAGCACCTAGTCATGCAAATGATATTGGGTAATCAAGGCAACACTGGTAATGAAGCAATTGGGGTCTGAATTGTCTGAATGTACCTGGTGCTTTTGAGCATGAAATCTAATTTGTGTATTTGCACAGGGAGAACCAAAAATGTAAAATGTACTGTTAACTTCTTGTTGTGACCACGTGCTTATCTGACATTTTTGGCTGCAGTCTACTGTGATGGTGTGTCATCTCCACCTGAATTTCAGATGTGGCATTAGAAAACACTAGAGTTTAAAAGAAAATGTATTGGGCAAATACTAGATCATATTCAGTCTTGGGAAAAAGGGAGTACAAACTCTATCGAGTAACTTTCCATTTATTTAAAGAGGAATTAATATATGGCCAAACAAATACTCTTCTTTGCAAACCTAGATTTGCATGGTCTCTGGGGGTTTTGGAGCCTGTGGTAGTTTTGGAGTAGCTGTGTACTGCTCAGTAGACCTGCCTATGAAGTTCATTAAAATTGATATATTTAACATTTAGTTCCTTAATATCATAGGAGTGCTTTGCATATGTGGTGTGGATGAAAATGAAGGGTAAATAATGATAAAATGCAAAATGTGAGTGCATGAAAGCACGATTGATTTAGTGATTCAGTCTAAGATTAACGTGGGTTTCATTCTATCACCTTGAGCACTGTGAAATAACCCCTGCTTTGCATAAAACTTTTAATACTGTTTGAAACACATGTGAATCAGCTGCTTGTCTTTAAACCAGCATCATATAAATGTAATAATGGAGGATTCATAATTCTTTTGAAACCATGGTATAAAATAAAATTGTTTATCTTTTATATTTCTTTGTTTCCTAAATTGGCATAAAAGAAAGCACTAAATGATTCAGATTTAAAAGTCGTGTTCTGTCAATAACACTGTTATGGAAAGCATCAGTGTTATTAGGTTATTAACAGTCATGACTCTGTTGTGTAATGATTGATAAGATACATTATCGTTTCCTGTTAACGGTTTGTGCTGTTGGAATTTTCTTAAAGTTCATTTCCAAGCAATTGTTTGAATGCATTTGTCACGTGTCTCGGATGAGACCAAGCGTAATATCAATTATTAGTCCCCTCTGAAGGAAAACAGCTGATGTGAGCCCTTGTGTTTTGCTCCTAGGTGGTAGGCCTGTATCGGTTATGTGGCTCAGCAGCGGTTAAGAAAGAGCTTCGAGAGGCGTTTGAGAGGGACAGCAAGGCTGTTAATCTCTCTGAAAGCCAGTACCCAGACGTTAATGTCATAACAGGTAATATGTTTACTTGCTTTTCTTGAATATGGAATTGTGCTGTGTTCCTGATGTACCTTTTATAAGGTGAAATTGTGCCTGAACTAGTTCTCTGTTGTCACTGAAGAAGCTGTTCAGTGCCGCGTTGTCTTGCTGAAGGGTAGGCGGGAACGAGCGCGGGAGCCTGGGGAGGTACAGATCTGAAGCAGCAATGATTTGGAGGGAGGAGGGCATGGAAAGAGCTGCTCTACATGTCCCAGAGGGAAGTGGAAGTCTGAAAGGAGCCGAGGTCCTGGGGCAGGTTAAACCTCGGCTGGTGGTTTGTATTGGAGCGGATCTTGAGAAATTGGGTTGTGGCACAACACGTGCGCAGTGTTGGTTGCTGTATACAGCGTATGATCCAAAGGCCATCTCCGATCGACCCGTTGTCCTCCCTTTAGGTTGCAGTTTGCAGGATTTTTGGAAATGAATTTCCCATTATGTGCAGGTTAGTTAGAGCTGCAGGGAAGTCCCTTCATTTGATCATCTGCTTCTTTTAAAACATAATTAAGCAGCAGCTTTCTCATGCTCACTGGAGTGCCCTTTGCTTGCTGTCAACGCAGCAAACTCCTGGCAAAGGTGAGAGGGATGGGGAGTGCAGGACCAGGAGGTCCTGGGAAACCTGTCTGCATCTGCGTCAGCTCTTTACGTGAGTGTTTACACAGGAATTGCACTGCACGACTGAAGCAAGTTGTTGAGGGTGGGTTTTTTTGTTTGCTTAAAAGTGGAACAGTTTTATAACTATTGATACTTGTTATGTAAAGCAAAGTTGATCTAATTTCAGGCATCACTGAGTAAACCAATTGCTCCAGGAAATTAGGCAGGAGAATTTATTTCCTATATATCCAGGGATCGAAAATGCAGCAACAGTAGTCAGGGTATAAATTTTCTGTGGCAAAGCCTTGTCCATAACATCCAGCTGTACGGGACCATTCTACCCTGTTTATTTAATTTCAGTGTATTGGCAATTAATTTTGTTCATTACAATTTATAACCATATCAAGTGGTATCAGAAGGTACTACTCTGTGACACGAGTGACTTAAATAAACCTTTTGTTTCAGAATGCCCAGCTGGTCGGTTTAGTTCACCTCACTTGCCCTGGCTGGTTTTGCTGTTGAGTTCAGTGTTGCTCACAGGTACCGGCCTTCCTATCAGCAGAAACTTGTCCTGATGGTTCATTCTGATGGGATACCCCCTTTAGAAAGAGGAAGTTTGCAGTAAAAATAAATAGTATGAAAGATATTTAAACTGGATATTTTTCTTTTCTTTAAAAATCAATTAGAAAATGTGGTGATAATTTCTAAGGTCAGATTGTTCCAAGAGATTATTGAAGTCCTGTTTTCTTCCTGATTTTTGTAAATCAACTCAGAAGGGAAAAAAAAAAACCCAAAAACCCACTGTTGCTTTCTGCCCAACAGCAGAAACTGTCTGATACTGACTTGTATGACAAATGGTAAAGTGCTATTTGGTTAGTGTAAACTTTTGGCTAATGGAAAACTCTAGGGTTTTTTTTTAAATTTCAGAATAATAAAAATGGCATTGCACTCCTGTGTTACAGTATTCATTACAATAAAACCGTGTTTGCAGAAACGGCTCAGGAGTATCATGGGTTGGAATCAGATGATCTTTGAGGTCCCTTCCAACCCAAACCATTCTATGATTCTACTGGCCTCTTGGTCCTTTTTTGGTCTGTACTACTGAAGGATAGTATTTTTCATCCAGAATTAGTATTGTGAGAGTAAAAAGCCTTGGTGTCTTCCTTACAGAAAGACTGCTGGGTACACCCTCGTATGTGCTATATTGCAGGAGTTGACTTACGTGCTGCTTTCCTTACAAGGAAAAAATAGTTTTAAGAAATTAGATTTTATACGAGTGTTACTTCCCCTGGTGCCCTTGCAGCTCTGCTGTGGGGTTGCTGTAGTGCCTGTGTTAGAGCTGTGTTCAGAGGACTGGGTGCAGGGGTCCTGCGTGAGTTGGGGGGAGCGGGGAGGGAAGGGGTGTTTTGTTTGCGCCCATAACCGCCGCTGCCTAAACCGCAGCCCGCTCTGACTGTGACCAGCGTGGTCTGGCTGCAGGGGGAACCTGCTGGTTTTGCTGACAGAGCTGAGCTACCACCGGGCTTAGTACTGGGTGTAGGAGAGGCCACAAAACCTCGCGTACGCGTAGGGAGCTTGGCTGGGGGGGAATCATAGAATCACAGAATGGTTTGGGTTGGAAGGGACCTTAAAGACCATCTAGTTCCAACCCCCCTGCCATGGGCAGGGACACCTTCCACTAGACCAGGTTGCTCAAAGCCTCATCCAGCCTGGGCTTGAAGACGTCCAGGGATGGGGCATCCACAGAATGTTTCCCCTGACGGGTTACTGCTGTATTTGCAGTGCTGAGGCCGATGCACATGAGTCATACTTTTGTAAGCCAAAACATGTGTTCCATAAAATATGAGTCCTCAGCATAAATCTTGGCTGATTGGAAGTGCAGCCTTCTGTCCTGTTTGAAATTTGAGTAGTGCTGCTTCTCCAAAAGATTAAAAGGATTTTTTTTTTCTGACAGCTCTCCAAAGACTAAAGAATGAACATTTAATGATTAAATCTTGATTGAGAAACGCTCTTGGGGTTGGCCCAGGCTCACACACACAGAGGTGTGCTCCTGGCTCCGACTGAAGCGTGCAGCCAGTCTGAGGGACTGACCCGCCGTCATGTTGTTGCCTCGTGTCTGTTTGCGTCCACGTGAATTCATATCTCCGCATGAAGCGTGCAGTGCTGTTAACAGCTCAGTGACTCAGAAAAATGAGGAATTAATGAAGTGGACGGCAATTTCTGCTCGCTGTCTAAATTTGTTGTGTGGGGTAGCGTCAAAGGGAATGTGCTAATGGGCTGGCAGCATAGATTCATGGAAAAAAATAACAGCAGCCTCTTACAGGGCTAATTTAGCTGAGTGAATAGCAAAATGGGAACCATGAAGGCCCCCTGACCTTTCTAAATCAAACTATCCTGTTATTCAGGGCCAAACAGGAGAAAGCCCTTTGGCAGGTGGAAGTCCTATGACTGTGGATGTTATTACAGGAATTCTTACTAAATTATTATTAATAGCCAGTTGTGTTTCAACAGTGTAAGCTGATTTGATTACAACATTCCATTTCCTACTGTAAGCTGGTTCTGATTTCGGCCTCCCCCTCAAAAAAACAAAAACAAACAAACAAACAAAAACAACAAAAAAAACCACCACACCAAACACATCTGAAGCAAAGATCCTGACACAAGTCAGCATCTCTTGCTAGTGTTTTGCATATGGAAAAAGGGAAACATCCCAAACCGTGTTGTATAGCACCAGCCGCTGCCACGTTTGTCTCATAAATATTGTAACCAGCTAATCCATGCATGGAACGTGGCCCTGTAAAATGAGGGGAAGAAACAAAATTTACTGGGGAGGGGGTTATATGAGTAAGTTATTGAACAAAAACCAGCCACTTCAGTGGAACAGTAAAGAAATTGGCAATATTCTTTGTAAAACAAACAAACAAAAAACCCCAAACCACCAGAGGGAACATGTTTTCAGGAAAATACGTGGATAGTTGCTTGCATTTTTTCCCATTCCTGGTGGGAGGTTCCCATTTTAAGCACAGGGCAGGGTGTTAGGTGCCGTATGCTGGCCGCAGGGACAGAAATTGTGCCTGGCTGCAGCTTCACGCTGCAGAGGTGGTCTGACAGCTCCGGGGGGTGATGCCCCTTCAGTTAGTGCTGCTCGTGCAACGTGGCCTGAATAGCTGCATTACTGCTAGGTGCAGTATTATTTTTAAATAGCAATATTTATACAGGTAGAAGAAGCCAACTTTTACTTGTGTTCTGCATGTGAACATGGCTGTGATGGGGAAATGTTAACTTTTATTCCCTGTATTTTTTTTGGAACGACCTCATAACCAAGCCTACTGCTATACAGTTCAGTTTACAGTTAGGTTGTAAAGACTGAGTTGTAGAAGCTGTTGCTTTGTTAAGTAACACAGTGTGATGTGCAAGTATTTGCTGTGATTTGGGATTTTACAAGACTATGAGAAGTGTATTCTAAAAAACCTTCTGCCTTTCCAACTGTGCCTTTTTGGAGGCCAGGCTGCGTTGTTAATTACGGTACCTGCTTTCAAAAGTTTTCTTTTAATCCACTGTTTCTTCTTAAGAGAGTATTTAAGTTCAGTTGGGATCTAGCTAAAATGGGTAGATCTTCGTGGCACGGAATTTTTTTTTTGAAGGAAAATAAAAGCTGTTCACCGAAACCCCACTCAAGCTGAAGCATCGGCCAGCCTTTAAAGCTGGCTTACAAGAATGCAAACACTCAGTTCCTTCTTGGTCTGCCTCTGTGGAAGGAGTAGATGTTGAATGAGGCGCTTGCCTGGTTGTTGCATCCCCTAGGAACAGCCTCTCTGTGAAGCAGCACGGCGTGTCTCCACAGCTGGGAGCGCTCGCTGCGTGGCTGCCTTGGCCAGCATCCTCTGGGGCTGCGAGCTCCGTTTGTCACGGCAGGAGCGAGCGGTGTGCTGGGGGGTACGGAGCACCCGGAGGCGGGGGGGGAGTTGGTGTTTCCCTCTTGAGGACGTCTGTTGGGTTTGTGCCTTGGTAGGTGAGAAAACACTGTGCTTCACCCAGCGGGCCACTGGCACTGGGATTTTTGCTCATAATTTTATAGCTAAAAATAAACTGAACAGAAAAATTAATTGTTGGGTTTATGTAAAGGGGGAGGTGTCATCAGGCTGAAGGCTTTGGTGTCCTTTTCTTGGCCAGGGGGTGGACTGCTGAGAGCTCTTTCCTTGCCTCTCCCTCAGCCCCCCCCAAGGAGGGGGACCTGGAGAGATGCTCACGCTGCGCCCGCCTGCCTGCTCCTGCGCATGGGGCAGCCCCTGCGCGTACCCCTCTTCCCTGGGGGCAGCGCACCTTCCCACCCTGCTTTGACTCCTTGGTTTGTGGTGAGCTGCTGGGACCGTGGGGTCCTCGTGGGGACGTCGCATAGATACCTCCTGCCTCGGGCTGACCCCGTGGGGATCCCTTGCCTACCCGTGGTTCACTGGGCCCTTTTGCTGTCGTCCTCCTGTCTCTTTGTCCAACTGCTAGGCTTGTCACCGAGGAGGAGGATTTTCTCATGGGACAGATGGAAACTGGTGTGCCTTAGTGCTCCCAAAAATCACTGGAAGTGAATCTGCAGCTTGTTAAAGGCAACTGTTGTTCTGTCTCTTGTGAAGGCGTCCTAAAGGACTATCTGCGGGAGCTGCCCTCTCCCCTGATAACCAAGCAGCTCTATGAAGCCGTGTTGGATACCATGGTGAAAAATCCCTTGAAAATGACGGCAAGCGGATGTGAGAATGACCCGAGTGACTCTGAGCACACGGCAGCCCTTCTGGAATGCCTGCCAGATGTTGAGAAGGTGAGCGGTGTTAGCAGGCTCACGTGAGCTGCGTGCTTCAGAACACAAAGGAACATTTTCACGGTGGATATAAAATGTGTCAAAATACATACACCTGTTTCCTGGCTTAATGGTCCACTTGGGTTTTTGATACTCCCTGTCACCAAAAATACTTCCACGCTGTGATTAATTGCAGGGTCTGCATTGCTGGATTTGTTATGGTTTGCATTTTACGTGTCTTTGTAATCATGAATGAAAAGCTGTGATTACTGTCCGTTTCTGTGGAGCCCTCTGATCTGTGTGTCGTAATCACGTGGGCAAATGCATTCCTCTTTCCTAAGCATGTGCAGCAAAGCCTTAGCTTCCTGTTTTGTGCCATGTAATAGTGCTGTGAGCAGTTACCTGCCAAATTCACCCAGTTAGCCCGGGGGAGGGGGTGAGCAAGTAGCCTGCACAGTACCTGGAAGTTACCTGGAAGCTTGTTCTGATGCTGAGGTCACGTTGAGGGTTGCTTTATTTTCCAGTGTACTTGGACCATCTACTGAATCTGCAGCTTCTCTTACTTTCCTGATGTCCCCTTCCCACTGTGAGAAAACTCATCCATGTAAAACTGAGATAGTGTAAGAAACAAGCTGAATTTTACCAGAAAGTCTGTCTTAACTTTCTGCTCTGTGACGGTCTAAAACAGGTTTTCTAATTCAGCACTTCATGTTGCATTGTTGTGCCCTGAGCAGTATTGTGTTCTCCTAGGCTACCCTGAAGATGCTGTTGGATCACCTGAAACTGGTGGCTTCTTACCATGAAGTAAACAAGATGACGTGCCAGAATTTAGCTGTATGCTTTGGACCTGTGTTACTGAGCCAGAGGCAGGAGACCACCAGCCATAAAAAAAGACGCTAGTGCCCTGGACTTCAAAAAACACATAGAGGTCCTTCACTATTTACTCCAGCTGTGGCCAGGTACTGTTTCATGCATCGGATCAAGGGAAAATGTCAAACCATTGCTGTGTGTTTTTATGTGTGATAGTGTAGGTTAATTCACGGGATGACTGAGCAGCATCGAAATTCTTAAAACATGGGGTACTGGGGCATCACCTGCTCATCTAAAGAAATCATGACAATCTTATCTGTTTTCTGTATTAAGTCACTTGATTTAATGGGAAGGTGGTTGTTTTAATTGCTTTCTTACTAGATGGCGGGGTTTGAGTATAATGTAAGAAGTGGTGAAGGGCTCTTTACATGAGTAAAGACACTAGGAAAAATGAACTCCATGACAGTAAGGTTTCCACATTGGAATTACTGGGAGTGGGTGTTGTGTGGGTAGGGTTGTTTTTTCCCTCCTCCTCCTGCTTTGACCATTCAGGGGTTATCTGTGTGTGGGATTCAGTAGTTGTTTGGTCTCTGAGACACCCCAAGGGTTATTTTATTTCTGTAATTTGACAGAGTTGGGAACACCCTTACAGTAAGGGCTGTGCGACTTCTAGTTGTTTATATAGAGTTGTAGGTAAGGAGAAACGTTTTTAAAACAAAACACCCAAAGCAAACAAGCATCAGAACTCAAACCGAACCCCCCAAAGTACCTTTTAGCTCCCACTCCCAAATTTAAGAGGTCATATGAAGTGGAATTACAGTTAATCTGAAAAATATGTCTGATTGGGTTTGTTTTAAAGCTTACTTTATATTTACTTGAGCAGGAGGAGGTTTGCTTTTTATGGGAGGCTTGGGGTCACCTGGGAAATGTGGAGGGTCTCAAAGGACCTGACTTGGCAATACTGAATTACAGATGCTGTGGCTGCATCTGACCCAGCCAGGTGGAATCCTCTGCTCTGTGCTCAGGATGCAAAATATCCTCCAAATAATTTAACGAGTGTTTGGGAAAAGGTGTGTTTGTTTGTTTGGGTTTTTTTAACCCCGTGAACTTACCCTGTTGTAAACATTATACAGAGAGATTGCCATTCCCAGCTAGATGGTTCTTGAAGCACTTTCCTCTGGAGAGCCCTGGAAGGGCTCCTGACTTGTAAGCGTGTGTTGGCAAAGAACTGGATCTGGCATATTCTATGTGATAGTTAAAGTGTGGATTTGTTGTCTACTCCTAGACATGAGGTATAAATGAATGTGCACTACCAGGCAAAGCGCCAGATAGGCACGTGAATGTGTAGTCTGTGTCTTGGTAGTTCATAGTCAAACTGTGTAAGACGTATGATTTTGCTGTTAATTACAGGGGGGTTTATGGTTACAAAAAAGGTATAGAAAATCTACGTTGTGTTGTTATTCAGGTCATCTTAAACAGTCTGTGCTCTTGTTAGCCAGTAATGCTTGTTCAGGTTATACCTAGAGGTTTGGTGTTGAGGTTGTTTTGGTTTGGTGGGTTTTTTGGGAGGGAGGTTTTTTTTAACTGAGAGATAAAGAATTGTTGGGGGAGATTTAATTCTTTCTTGAGTAAAACTGTGAAATATCAGGACAAGTGAAGCAAACACAAAGGAAGAGGTCTCACTGTCTGCTCACTTGATGAGCACAGCATAATTGCCGGGTTTGACTAGCTCAGCGAGGTCTTTCAAGTGCTCGAGTGTTTCTCGTGGTGTCTCAGATGCTGATCCGTATGAAGAATATTCTGGGTGAGACGGTGATTTCGGCTGTCGTGGACTGCTATTTCATTCCTCCTGCAGCAGTTTCCACCTGGGGAGTGTTGCTAGACTCCCTCCTACTGCCCAACAGCTTGTTGGCGAGAGGAGCTGTGAATGGGGTCCCCAGCAGCTGCAGTGGCCGGCCAGCCCCCGTGTCTCTCAGCAGGGGGAGAGATGAGCTTGGAAAAAAAAATCAGCATACACAATTCATGTACTGGAGGGGAAAAATCTCGGTAGGTAGGGTCTCAGTTGTGTGGTCTAATTCCCACCCCCGGTAGGTCTGGTTTAGTTGCTTGTGTTAGGAATGGGTAGCTGCTCTGCTCTGAGTCTCGGCTGTGCAGGTGAGTTGCTTTCCAGGGCTCCGCAGTCAGGGGCAGGTCCTGGAAGGGTGTCCCGGCCGGGCAGCTCGCAGAGCTGTCTGCGGTGGTGTAATTGGGGGCGCTTTTTACGTTTTTACCATGCTCTGCTGCCCTGATAGTGGCCAGGAGTGAGCTCCAGTGGCAGCTGACCCCGGCGGCTGTGACAAGTGCACGCTGACCGCGCTTTGGGTCAGCACCCCGGGAAAATGCTGGCTATTGGCTCTGCTCGCTGCACCCTCCTGGAAACCCTCTCCGCCTGAAAATAAGAGCGAGAGGAGAGTTAGGTTGACATCTGTTCCTGCTTCGTGATGGGCTTGAGGTGATCGAGGATACTTCTGCTCCCTTGTCAGCTGTGGCCGGGCAGCCCCGAAGCTGCTGACCACCCAAAATGAAAACAAGCTTTTAGTCAGGTCAGTGAGCCAGCACGGGAGAGATGGGACATGTGAGTGGAGGAAGAGGGAGGCCAAGAGGTGTTTGGGCAGCAGGTACGGTGCAGGAGCTAATCGTGAAACCCTGGGGATAGCTTGTGGGATGGCTGCGGTGGCAAACAAAAGCAGGTGGAGGTGGCTCTTCCCATAGGAGTGTGCGTGGCTGTCGGAGTAAGGTAAGTGGTTTTCCTTCAGCTGGGAGGGCAAGCTGAACGCTTTCCCTTGGCACAAGAAGGGAGGCAAAGCACAAATGCAGAGCTGAGAACAGGCAAACACTGTACAGTGCAAACAGAACAGTTGGACCCGGAGGAGGGACCACAGTCTGGTCCCTTACATTTAATCTCCTGTAGGTTGGGACAGTTTGATAATCACCACGTTGTGCAGTACTTCAGTTTCCGTATTTTTCCAACCGAAAACAAATAATCCTTGTTTGGTTAGACCAGGTACTACTGGCAAGTCGTTGTTAACCCACGGCCCTTCCTCTTAGCGGGGCGTAGCCTAAACAGAAGGGCTGCTGTGGTAGTAAAGGGGGGGCGGCAGCGGTCATTCTTGCATGTCACTGTGCAAGATGTGAAGTAAGGCTAAAATCCCCTGGGGAGACCTGTAGGGTGGGCCCGTGAAGGGGAGCGTTGGGCACACCTCAGGACTGAGCCTCTGCGCTCACGTGTGGAGCCTGACGAGGAGCCGGGGAGGGGGACGGTGAACCGCATGGCTTCGTGCGCGCTGCGTTTTCAGCGACGAGTGGGAATGGCAAGTCTCTGCTTCCAGTCAGAGGGGTAACAGTCTGCTTAAAACAGAGCTTTGCAGCTCAGAGGTTTAACAGGCACAGGTCAGTAAAAATATTTGTGCTGTTTACCGCAGGGAGCCGGTAACGGCGGAGGAGGCTGTTAGTAACTTGCGCCGTGTAACCGTGGGCACAGGTAACGTTGCCATCCAACCTGTTGGAGCGTACGTCTGACCTGGGGTTGTGGCTGCTTAGAGAAATTAATGCAAACGAGCTTCTTTTAATAGTGCAGAGCACTAGGGCAGAAGAGAAACACGGGAGTTCAACTCGGTGAGTCTTGAGCTTCACTAGGTGTTTCTCCATGGGGGTATTTTTGTTGTGGTTTAACCTCCTTTGCTCTGCCTGCTTTGTGTTGCTCTTGTAGCCTGAATGAAGCGCGTGAGCTGAGCTGTGGGCTTTTCTTTCACCCAGAGCTGGATGGTGGTTAACTCGTGCTGTGAATTTAATTGGTGCTCTGGGGTTTTCTACTTGCAGATAGGCTTCTCTCCATTGCAGTTTGAATCTGGCATGAATCCTCAAAAGCGAGCTGTTAGAGTAGTTTTTTTTCCTAATTATTTTAGATCGAAGAGCAGCAGAAATCACGGCAGTGGAATGAGCTGTTAGAGTAGGTTTTTTTCCTAATTATTTTAGATCGAAGAGCAGCAGAAATCACGGCAGTGGAATCTGTTGGCTGTAAGCTTGCATGTATTCATGCATGCTGTTAGCGTGTGATGTCGAGGGAGGAGAGTGGCATCTCTCGTGGACTCTTCTTGCTGCAGCACAGATCCAGTCCTGAGTGGTTTAACTTCTCTCTTGCAGTATATCCCTCGCCTGCCAAAGAACCAGTGCATCTGAATGCATTTCCCGAGAGCCCATCCTCCCTGAATTACCTGAGACCCAAGCGGCAGCGCCCTCAGATGCTGAACCTGAGCGGTACGGAGATGTCTGGGGTGCTCAGACCAAGGCCGGCCGGCCTAGACAGCCCGTCGAGCAACCGCTACGCGGGAGACTGGAGTAGTTGCAGGGACAGCTACTTAACCCCAAAAGACTGCCCGAGTGAAGCAGATTACGACGACGTCCCATCAGAAGATACGGAGAGCGGGGATGACAGCAGCAAAGCCGAGGAGTCGGATGCTCCGGTGGGACACCCGCAGCCCATCCCCAGAGAGCGTACATTTCAGAGCTATTTGACAATGCAAGCAATAGACTCGGCGGTGGATCACACAGCAAACCTCAAAGACCTGCAGGAAAGTATTGATACTCTCATAGGAAACCTGGAAAGGGAACTCAACAAAAACAAGCTAAATATGAGCTACTAAATCCTGTCCTGCATGGGGCCTCCTCCTAGTGCCTCTATGCCCCTCACTGGGCTTCCCACAGCCGAGTGAGGGAGTGACGGTGCCCTTAAGCACCTCGTCGTCAGGCCACAGCCCACCCTGTGTTAACAAATTCTAAGCCATTTCTGCCTTTTTTTGTTAGAAGAAGGTGTTGGCCTGTTTTAGGTGTTGGAGACAAGCTTGGAGACTGTGAGGCAATTCCACATAGTGGCATTTCTCCCTAAAAATACTATGCACTTAGGCAGTCTGGGCAATACTCTGGCAGCAGACAGAACAACATCTCTGCTGTCGGCAGCAGCAGAACTCCTCATTCCTGAAACCCCAGCTCCGGTACAGATGTTCCTCTCCGGAAGAGGATGGATGCTGCTTGGCCTGGGTTTTGCAGCATGGATTTCAGATAGACTCCTTTTACTATGTATGCAATGGCTGCTATGAAAAATGCTTTTTATATATATAATATTTATATATAAAGTTTTAATTGTACAAATATTAATGTATTCGTGTATTAACACTTTTCAGTAACTATTTAAACAAGCAAAAATAAATATTTTTCTAACCTTGTTTGTATATATCTATGTATGAATATGCATGTATCCGTGGCCACCTTTGGAAAGGAGAGAATTACGAGACGTCCACGTTTCTAGGAAGGAGCGTTCAGCGATGCCCGGGTGAAGTCACCCCTTGAGTAACGCAGCGTTGGATTTGTTCACGGAAGCACGGCCGGAGAGGAGGCAGGGTGAATGATTAATGTACGTGACCTTGTGTGTTGCAGGGGCATCAGTTGGCAGGCGTTGACTATTAACTCGCACACCCACCACCCTTTCTCTGTGTGTTTTCCCTTCTTTTTTTGTTTCTTTCGTGTTGGGGTTTGGGTTTTTTCATATATAAAGAAGGTCTGGAAGGATTTTACTCTTCAAAAAACACTTGTGGTTTGTCCTTGTAACCTGTTACTTTATTCTTGAGGTTTCAGTATTTTCTTTCTCTCCAGAGTTTCATGTATTTTTGTTGAGGTGCCTTTGGCTGCTGGCAGGTAGATGTGTCTGAGCTCTCTCCGATGGGCGGTGGCTGTGGACATATAAGGCTTCTGGTCAGATTTCTGTACGAAGGCAGTTACTTTTTTCTCAGTCCCTTTTTTTCTCTCTAAATTAATCTCCCAAAAATGGAAACCCGAGTTGTTACATGGGGTTGAATGGGTTGAGTGATGGCTGTTTGGGTGGGATTGCAGTTCACTGTGACCTTATTCGTTTCAGCTGTCACCATCTTCTCAGATCGTCTTTTATCGTTAGCCATTTATGGTGAGCAATTAAAACCTTTCATGTTAAGGGAACACATTCTGGTTTAATTAAAAACAGTTCCTAGATTGCATACAGATGTTTTGATCGTCTCTCTGACCAGAAATAGATGTAGAGTAATTCCTTGTCCTTCACAGCTCACCCCCCATGAGGAAGGGGGAATTGGGGAGGTGGGAGAGAGGGTTGTGTTTTGAGAGGTCAAACAGCAAGTTGCTGGCAGGGTAGAGCTTCATTCTCTTCATCTTTTCGGTACGGCATTGACATCCCGCCATGGCTTTCCACTCACCCTCTGGGTCAGTGCTTTTCTGCTAACCAGTACTTCCTTATATTACTTAATTGAAGATTTATTTATTTACAATAGCAAGGAATTAGGAATTGCTACAGCAAACGTCACCCCCCTTTTCTAAGGAATTATTTTAGCGTGGTTTCAAATGGTTTATTCGATCTCACTAATTTATTTTTCTAAGTGTTAAAAGATGCAAAGCAATTATTGCAATATAATGATAATAATGTAAATTTAACCGGAAGCATTTATCAATAAATCGATGTATTTTTTTAAACTTTTATACCTACAGAATGTGCATACTTTTTAAACTATAAATTTAAATTCTAAATAAAATTTGAATTAAGAACAAGATTTGAGTAAGCCTGGTTAGTGGGTTATTTAAACCCGTCTCAGCTGACTCCATTCGTTTGCACTGGCCGTGTGTGCGAGCTAATCCCATGAAGACATCTCGTTTCCAGAAGATGCTCTGTTCTGTTGTTGTTCCTAGATGCACTCAACATTCACGTAATTAAAACCACCAACCACTACTCAAATCCAACAGCAGTAATACTCTGAAGGAGTTGTCAAACCGGTGCTGTGGCAGCGTTTCTCCTGCCGGTGCATTTGAACGTAGCCCGGCTTCTGCACGGGGTGTGTTCTTAAAGCTGTTCGATAGATGATACGCCGAGTCTTCACTGTCCGTAACGTCTGGACAGTAAGTGAGCACCTTTTGGGTAGGCGTGAGCTTTCCTACAGGCGGGTTCTGTAGCAGTGCGTGGCTCTGCCCGCTTCAGTATTTTGACCTTGCAGCAGGGAAAAATGACGCCTGATAAACTGTATTAATGTTAATCTGATGAGTTCTTTAAACCACAATAAAGTATTGGTGTCATTCAAGTGAAATATTTGCTGCTGATCTCGTTATAACAACTTCGTAGAGCACGTTTTGTGTCTTTTGAAATCCTCTTTCAGTGCGACGTTTCCCCAGCGGTATTTGTTACGTGGTGTCCCTCGTTCCTGTTATTACAGATATTTCATTCAATATATAATCTGGACAAGCTGCATCCTTCTTACGATCGTTACAGATTCTTAAGGAACAGGATTTGCGTGCGGGTTACCCTGATCTAGAATTACCAGACTGGGAGACTAAACCAACCTGCTGCCACCAAAGCAGCGAGGGACTTTTTTTTTTTGTACAAAGGAGCGGCCTCGGGCTGCGTGTGGTTGCAGGGTAGAGCTCCTGTTGAATTCCCTGGGCACAGCCAGGAGCTACTCCTACAGTGCTGGGGTTGTAGCTCAGTTTGCCACCAGGAGCAGCTCCTGTTCCGCCAGGGCTCCTGCGGCTGCTGGGAGAGGTTCAGAGCAGAGCCTGCAGCTGAGTTCAGAGACCAGATGTCCCTGGAGTGTGTGCACTTCCTTCAGGTGTGACCTCCGCTTTGCAGGTGAAGCAGCGGATGCAGGTGCACTTCCACAACCGATTCCAAGACTTGCACCAAAATCACATGCAGGTTGTTACACCCAAGTAGGGGCAGTGATGGCTGCGTGCTGGGCTGGGTAGGAGGGTGGAATCAGAGTTTGTAGTCCTGGGAAAAGCACAACTGCGCCTGGAGGTCTGTCCAGCTCTTTGCTGCCAAGGGCTGAGGATGTGGGATGTACTAAGGAGCCCACCCGCTGAGGTGGGTTCAGGAATGCACTGGGCCCCTTCGCAGAGTTTCAATCTGTTGCTGTTTGTTGAAGCAGGAGTGTCCAAATGAGCGTGGAATCCGAGTTTGTAGTCCTGGGAAAAACAGAACTGCGCCTGGAGGTCTGTCCAGCTCTTTGCTGCCAAGGGCTGAGGATGTGGGATGTGCTAAGGAGCCCACCCGCTGAGGTGAGTTCAGGAATGGACTGGGCCCGTTTGCAGAGTTTCAATCTTGCTGTTTGTTGAAGCAGGATTGTCCAAATGCTTGTGCTGTGGGGCTGATCCAGCTGACGCTGAAACACTTCTCCCCCTTTTTCAGCGTCCCAAAGTGACTGATTACAGGACCGTGCAGGAGATGGGTGGGGATGGTGTGGGATGTGGAGTAGAGAGGGTGGCAGCATGACCTTGGGCTGGTTTAAGCCACTGAGGACCTGCATCCTCAGAAACTTCAGATCTTTAGATCTGTCTTTTCCAGATGCCTAACGCATGGGGATGTTTATTAATGTACCAGGCAAGAAACGTAGCTGCAGCTATTCAGATGGGTTCTAAAAATAGAGGGAAACGTCCCCAACAGAAGCAGATATTCAGGGTTTTTACAGGATAAATCTGATAAGCCAAACACACATCTGGTATTTCTGCTGCCAGATCTTAACCCCTCCTCTTCCTCCCCATCCCAAGGTACAGGGTTTTCTTAACAATAAAAATGTATTTCTATATAAGAAGTCTTTACCTCAAACTCTGGAGCTAGGGCCAGTTGAAAGATGGCTATTTGGGGTGGAGGGAGGACTGGGGTTACACTTCAGTGTAACTATGATTCATTTTTTTCAGAATGTCATCCTACACATTGGGTTAACTGTCTTCATTCTGTTTGACTTTGTAGAGCCATGCAGGACAACCTAGAATTTGTCTTAGCAACAAAATTTTCTAGGCAGAAATAGCCTGTGGAACAGCTGAAGTAATGCAAGGCTGACCCTACAGGTATTTGAACATCTAGAATTGCATTAGAGAGGATAAAAGATTGCCATGGGATGTATCGTTGCATGCCTCTGGTGTTATTTGGGAAACAGAGATGGGGAGGAACACGGCTTTCTGGAAGACTATGCCCTTTCCATTGGGGAATTCCTGCAGCTCCCCAGGCTGATCCCTCTTTGTCCTCACTGTTAGGAAAACCCAGCTGAAATCCATCTGTTCTCTGGAACGCTTCCTTAACTGAAACTCTCTGGAGTGCCTCTGTGGGGAGAACAAGGCTCACATTGGAGTTGCTGCCTCCTCCGGGTTGTAGTGACAGAGCTACGGTGGAGGGGAGATGGTTGGGCTTTCCAGGTAAGCCATGGCCATATGGCTTTAATGTACACCTATCTTGCGGCCCTGTTAATCAAAAATCTGTGGCAGGTGATCTGAGGTGGTGTTCTAACAAAGTCCGGGCCTGATAAGAGAGCCGAGCTTTTTAATTAGTTGGTTGTGGGATATTTACACTGCTACATGGAGCAGGCTTTTGGTTAAATATTGATTCAGCAGAGGAGCTGTGTTCTCTTCCTGTTTGAGCTCCGACTGCAAACAGTGTGCGGCAGGTGGCAGGGATGTGCTTGTTGAGTGGTCCTTGGAGGTAGTTTAATATGAGATGCAAGGAATATTACTGTAATATTTAAACTTCAAACTAGCAATCAGAAGACTGTTTTTCAAACCAAGTCCTGTGTAGTGGCACCAAACTTGGACCTAAGTTCAACCCGAGTGATAAAAGTATGTGATGGGGAGATCCTGGCTGCAGAAAGTTGAAGAGGCCTTGAACCGATCTGCAGTGTTTATTACGTGACTCAGGAGCCTCTAGCCTTTGCGCCAGGAATCGCTCCTTCCATCTCCTGTGTTACCGCGATGGTTGTGGTCAGCTGAGGTACCCGCGTGGCTGTGTGCTTCCCCGGCTCCCCGCCACGGCAGCTCGGGGCCGGGGGACTGCGTAGGCCCGGGTGAGTGTCCTTCGCGCTGGAGCGCTTTCTGTTGCCACATCTCCAGAGCAGGACGTGGCCGGGACATCTCAAAAGAGCTGCTGCTTGTCCCTGTGTTTTTATGAGGAGTGAATTCCTTGGGGATGAGGGAGGAGCTGATTTCTGGAGCTGAGTAGCAAAACTTGGATGGCCTGTGTGAATGTAGCTACTGAAGTGGGATGGTTCCCCCTCTGGTAGGAGCAGGTGGATGTAGGTTACAAGGGTGAATATCGCCACATTGGTTTGACCTGCTGCATTGTGTTCCGCAGTCCTGACAGACACAGAGCTGGGAAAACTATTATTTAAACAGATAGACTATTCATTATATATTAAGCAAACATAGTGGGGGAAGCGTGCCCAAAACAGTTGTTCTTTAACCACGTTGAGAATACACAAATGGACAAAGTTAACAAAACAGTAATCTCTAACTGCAAGTTGCTTTATTTCTGAAGCTAAACAAGTTTTGCTGAAATAAAGAGGTTCTGAAACAAAAAGCTCACTGCTGCTAAAGGTGATAATGGGCTCTTAGCATCCGATGACGGAAGTATTTCTTGTCCCTTTACTAGTCCTAAATCCATTAGTATATGCCTCTCCAGGTCTAGAAGTACACCATAGACTGCATTTTCTTGCTCCTCCATCTCTTGTTTTGTTTTCTGTGAGGCAGTCATACTCTGAAGGAAAAACACATACCAGGCAGTAAAGCTCTGAAACCCGTGTGCAACCCCATTGCTTCCCAGGCATAGTGTCAGTGCTCTCACAAATTAACGCCAGTAGGTATCACCTAGGGCTACATTAACTGAATTGTCGTTTCCTTGGTAGTTAGTTGGTTTAATTAAACCATTTACCAAAGACTGGATAGGCAAAGTCCTTATGTGAACAAAGAATGGAAGGCTGGAGTTTCTCCTCCCTTGAAGTAGCCAAAATTGTAACTTTGTGAAAGAGTAACTGATGTAAAAAACAAATTCAGAGTTTCACTGGCCAAGAGCTGAACTCGCAGCAGGACCACCTAGTCCACTCTTAAAAATGGTAAATATGAAATAAGGAGCTGCTGAGCTGGTCTGATGGCGTTCACCCTAATATCTGGAAATACTATGGGAAGTTCTGCCTAGCAAAACCAGGTGTGTTTTAAAGAGCCGAGGAAACTAAAGAGTTTGCTTAACTCCAAGTATAACATACTGGTTTTTTCCTCTGTGCCTCCAGCTCTATCTCAGTTCTGTTTTGGCTTGAAACTCTTGATACTCTTGAAATTCTTGTTCACAATACTTCAGATATTTGATTTCTCTTTCAAAATACTCAAGTATGTTGGTATGCTGTGAACACAATGACAAACACTGATCATTACAAGCCCAAAGACACAGAATTATTGCTGATGATCTGAACACTATTACCAGTTTATCTATATTAGAAATATAGATAGCTATATCATTTATCCAAATAATTTCCAACAAAACACTATAAAGATGTGGTTTGAAATCAATTGTATTTGGCTTAAAATGTGCATGGGGTTAAATTATTTTATTACATTGACTGAGTAGAACATCTTTCAGGAACCTGCACTAAAATAACTAAACCAGTTTTAGGTTCATAATTTCAGTAAATTATGAACCTAAATAAATAAATTAAATAAATTATTTCAAATCCTCACTGACCTAACTTAAGGCATGAAGAAACCATAAAATACCACAAATACCATACTTCAGTATTGCACATCTATTTTAAAGGGAATACTTCAGTTAGAATGAATGTAATCTAAATATTAGTGACTGCTCCTAGGTTAATACTTCTGTGCCCTAAAAAGCGTAGTTCCAAAACACATGTAACTTGGGCAGAAGCAATGCGTTCGCTGCTCACGTTACAGCACTTACAGTTGGCTCCTACCTTGCTTTGGCAAAGCTATTTTTTCCTAAAATGAAGCAGCTGACCTGGTGTTACGTTGCTATATACTGTAGCTCTGCACACTGCAAACCTTTATGGTATGTTTGCAAATTACTTAAGTACATGCATGAATTTAAGAGGGGGAGAGGACAGGAAGAACATTCTGTGATGTAAAACTAACAGACCAGATAGCAGGCAAGACTGCTGGACTTGATGAGATGAAAACATAACCTGGATCTGAAAATAGAGATGCTACAACCGTTTCTATTGTTGCCATGGCTGTTTGGTACTGATAGTCCTTATTTCAAAGGAGAATGAATGAGTGGTGATTTAGTAACAGTTGGTTAAATGTGCTCTAAGTGAGCTAGAACCAGATACTAAGATGACTAAGTTGAAGGACTAAATTTAGAGGAAAAAAACCCTATACAAATGCAGAAAGAAGGTGCAGAGAAAGAGAAACTCAGTCTATTTACGTTACTGTGCACTATATAGAATTATTTTGATATATGAAAGCAGGTGTCATTTTATACATGTGTCAAAACAATTTGAACTCCACTGCGTTTTCACAGAGACAGGTTGAAGCAGTGGAATTCTGCCAACTGTCACCCGGGTTCCTGTAGGCGCCACCTATCTGGGCTCTGTGCAGTGCCAGCTTTGCTACGGGTGACCTGCGGAGGACATGGCCATCTCAAAATAATTGCCATCCATTTGAAGGCACATTTTTCCAGTCAGGCCTGTTTCTACGTTGAGTTTTCAGGATAGTGTCACAGAGAAATAAAAATTCTTACCAACCTCATTCCTTGAAGGATGACTTAATATCTGACAGATTTCCAAAACATGCAGTACTCCAAAACCATCAGAAACAGCTAAAAAATGCTGCTTTGCTGCAAGAAATTTGACAAAAAACATGTCAACAATTCCAACAGTAACACACTCCTCCACCCAAACACAAACTACAGAGGGTTCATTTTTGTTGTGATTGGTTTGGTTTATTGTTCACTGCAGCAAAAAAGCAGCAAATTAAATTCCCTTCAAAGTTTATACTGTTTCAAACTCTTCGCTTTATACTGCACTAGTACACTTAAAATCTGATGTATGCATTTCTGTGCTTACAGTGCAGTGTTAAATTAGTGGAAATATGTACTGATCTCTCCCATAAGATCACCTATAACAAGCTTAGTGTGCCTTGGAGTCACAGGCCATTTTACAAACAGGGTGGCCCCGTAAAGTGCGATCGCTATCAACATACTTGAGGTGGTCCAGGGGCTGATGGAAGTGATCCTTGATTCGGAGATGTTCTGCAAATGAGATGGCTCATGAGTTTTCTTCAGTAAGTCCCAGACCTCCATACTCCCATCATCTCTGCCAATGAAGAAAACTCCTGGTCTCGTTAAGGACCACTGTCCCGTGGTATATCTTCCTGCAGAGCATCTTGACTGAAGGATCGGCCCATTCTTATTTTTGTTAAAAAACAAGTAAAAGATAGACTCAACATTCAAACAGCACTATCCACTCACTGCTTCAGACCTCCTATCATTTGAGAACATTCACAATTTAAATGATCCTATAACAAAGATCATATCAGTGGCAAAATTGGTATCACCTTCTGCAGATAAAGAGAACTGTGGAGAAGTAAAAACCTGTCTCGCTTCCAGTCTATGAATGAAATGTGTCTATCTGCTGTTAAAATCTGTGGTCTTGGGATTTTGCCTGGTGCAGCTAACCTGGATTCCCTACAAAAGAGGAACTGTGAAAAAAACCCACGTTTCTTTGTCTTCAGATATGGAAAGACTGCACCCTAAATATGAATTCTTCAGCTGTGTTTAGCAATCACTGCCTTTATTCTTCAGTTTCCCTAGCAGCAGAAATAATTTGTTGAGAAGCTACAGTTTTTACAAGGTTGGAATTAAAGGTCACTTCATTTCTTCATGTCCTGGTTTAATCCCAGCCAGCAACTAAGTACCACGCAGCTGTTCGGTCACCTTCTCCCCCGCTCCTCCAGCGGAGAGGGAGAATGGGGGGAAAAGACAAACTTGTGAGTTAAGAACAACTTAATAACTGAAAGTAAATGAAATAGAACAATGATACCAATAATACTAACAATATGTCATGAAAATAAAGGAAAACAAAACAAAGGGTAGGACTGCTCACCACCCACCGACTGACTGCGGGGCAGAGCCAGAGAAAGAAAGTCCACCCCTGGCCCAACCCCCAACACACACACTGAGTGTGAGGTTTCGTGGAGTGAAATACTCCCTTGGCCAGTCCGGGCCAGCTGTCCTGACCACGTCCCCTCCTAGCTCCTTGTAGCGAAGAAGCTGGTAACACAGGCACAGCACCAGACACTGGAGAAGTCCTTGACTCGGTAGGAACACTCCTTAGTGACAACTAAGTGCACCGGCACCATCAATACTCTCCTCCACGCAAACCCCAACGTAGCCTCATGCTAGCCACTGTGAAGGAAACCAACACGGTCCCAACCAAAGCCAGCACACTCCTGTAAAAGGCAGGTTTACACAGCTATTTCTAAAACAGTTTTCTGAAGCGAAGAAGATAGAAAAGCTTTTCTTATACTCAGTTTGTTTCTAAACTATGACGCTGTGTGACTTACAGACATTTCTGAAAATACAGTCTCTGAGGCTATTACAGTTCTCTCTTGTAGATCTGTCAGTTATGTTACAGCTGTGTTAACGTAACTTACTGTAACCCCTTCTTTCCAAATGGCAAAATTCCGGCCCCCAGCACTTAGAATGATGTCTTTGAAAACCGGAGATCTCTGGAGAGTGTTGACAGCTTTGGTGTGGATGGTGTATCTCTGAACGTGATTCTGTCCTAGTGGAATGGAAAAGGCAGTTGCTCGTAACTATGCTTTGGTGATCATCTTCACCATGGCCGTTACGTGGGGGCAAACAGGCGTGCAGGATCCAGCACGGCCTTCAAAGATATTAGCCTCATTTTTTTTTTTGCTCACAAGGTAGAGGAATTGGAATTGCCACAAATCTAGTTAGTGTCAAGTCTGACTTCCGTGATTTGTGCTAACAGGTAGGTAGCGAGGCACCTGTGATACCAGAGAGGGCTTTTGCTAATCTGCCCTGACAGCTAAACTGCACTCACTTCTGAGGCTGTACTGCTGATTCCCAGTGTCACCAGGGAGATAGGCTGTTACAGCAGATGAGCAAGAACCTTAAAAAGACAGAGTCTAGGTGCAAATATTGTAAAGTTAGGGGTATACTAAGGTTAAACGGGTATTGAGAACCTCGTACTTACTAACTGGTTTTGCTGAGTCACTATCAATTTCTATTTTCCAGTCGGAATAAACAATTTCTCCATCCTGTGGTGCCAGAAAAATCAGGTAAATGCATTTAATATTAAATGTGTTCTGCAAAATTAAAATGAAAGTTTGCAGCCAGTGACTGAAAAAAACACTAACATTTTGGATCACCATACAGTTTTGTTGCTGAAACAGCTTTACTCACCATGATGTATTCAGGGAGTCCTTCCAGCAGAATTAGCTGCTCGATTTTTACAGTTCATGCTTTTTTTTACTTGGGAAAAAGGTGGCTGGAAGCACAAAGGAAGCTAGAAGCCAGATTTTTGTTCCTACATAAACTCAAAACTGGGAAAGATTTTGGAAGTTTAGATACATAGGGTGGGTAGAGGACTATGAATAGGTGGGACTTCCTAAAGTGGAAATAAGTTGTGGGGGAGATTGTAGTATAAATAAATATTTATACTACAGTATAAGTGATTAAGTATTTAATCACTTCACCTGACATTAGGGGAACTCATAAAAAAATATTACTAATCTTATGGCTTCTGGAATAAGGAAAAACTCTTTGGTGCCTGATGGCAGGTAGTTAAGTTCAACATATTTTGGAAATATCTTTCTGCCCTTTGAGTAAGGGTTCATAGTCTGCCAAATATTGGGGGTTTTATTATTATCTTAAGCATGTAGCTAAGTGCATTAAAACTGGAATAAAATGGGGCACGTCCAGAAAGTTCTTTTTAGTTGTGTGAAGAAAACACGCAACTCCATACATTTGTGAAGAATCTATTATTTAATAGTTCAGTCTTTTGAATAGCTTGACTTAACATTTTCATTAGTAATGTATTATTTTCACTTACTTCATTTCCAACAAAAAAGTTGGTGGAGATATTCATTAGCACTTTCAGATTTTTGCTTGAGGGAGTACTCATCTCTCTACATGGGCTGTCTTTGACGAGTACATCTAGTGTGTTCAGAGATTGCACCTTCTCTGAGAAACAGCACAGATACATTTATTTAGTATACACTGAAATGTATCAGATCAAGAAAATCCTTTGTTATGTAAACGTAGTTCATGGATAAGGGGAATTTCAAGAGGCAAGACAAGAAAGACTGTGAAGTAAAGCAGCAGTTCTGCAGGTTAACTGTTTCATGGTGATATCTCCCCATTGCTGCAGCTGCTCTGAAGTCAGTGCTCCCGTACCCAGATGACTACTTTTTTACCCATCAGCATCTCCATAAGAACCATCCTTACGCATCCCTCGTAGCTGCTGCAACTAGGTGCCAACATTTCTGCTCCAGGGAATGGCACAACCTGCCTCCTGCAGCATGTGCTGGAGGTGTGACAGCGTGCACTGGAGCAGCTCAGCTGCTAGAAGGGCATTTCTGGCATGGTTTGCAGTCGTCCCCTCAGGTACTGGCTATCTGTGTGCCAGCTTCCCAGAGGGACCAGTATTGTGTCCGTACCACAGGGGTCTTATTAAGGAGATGCTCTACTATGGAATGCAAAGTGCTAAGGCACCTCTATCCAAAGCTCTACAGAAATACCTACGATATATGCTCTTACTACAACATGGTTTTTCTAAAATTGTTATTCTGTAAGGATACTAATGAAAAAGACATACTGTTTGAGGGATAAAGGGACTCAGTGGGGTTCAATAATGAGCTATTAAGTAAAACCTTCAGAGTTACTGTGCATACAGAACTGCGTTTTGTATGCAATACGTGCACATATCTGCACATATATACATATACATACATATGTATTGCATTTTGAATAACAGCATATTTAAGAAACCTTCTACCCCCAATGCATTTAGCTATGCAACACTTTGTTGCTCAGTTTTCATTATGTATATACTGAAAAATAAGCTTATGAAAAACATTTTCCCCAATAAGGTGTAATAAATATTACCTGAGGTTTTGTAATGATAACGCAGTTCCCTTAAACTAATTCTGACAGGACCATACTCCATGTTGGTATTGCTTTCATACAGGTTTATCTGTTCAGAAAAAACGCATTTGCTAACTCATTTTGGCAGGTCTCTGAGCTACAAGACTAAATGACTTTCTGCTGTAATGGAACAGGTCTTGTCAGTGTATTTGCAACACCCCACAAATGGCATTTGCTGCCTCATGTGCAAGAACAGAGAAAATGCAAACCTGTGATTTTTCTTGTGTTATCCTTTCCCTGTAAGGATTTTGCCAGGTTTCTAGCAAAAAACAGCAGTCATGCTTGTTCAGCGACCATACAAGCTGCAGCTACTGTGAGCAGCATGTCCAAAATGTTTCGTTTTTTTTTTTTACCTAACACATTATTTTCAGCCTCACTTTTTTTTTTTTTTCCACAAACTGCTATGACCACTTTCATCAGACTGACTGTTGGGTTGCCAGTAATTACGGTTCTGTTGGTCATGAGGCATGTTTCACTGTTTGGGACCCACTGAGATAGACAGCACAGCGGGTGAAAAGGCTGAGAGGAACTTAACACTTACTACAACTAGTTGTGCACCTACTTCAGTTTTAAGAGGAAATCATGCTGTCTCTTGTGAGTTAACTTTTCAAAAAGCGTTTTATTGAAGTTTCAGAGGAACGTTGAAGATTTAATTTCATAATCAGAAGGAAATTCAAAAGGAAGTCACAATTTGCTGGAAAATTTAAAGAGTTGGAAAGCAAAAGGATACATTCCTATGGAGTTCTGGCCATATCTACAGTTTGACATGATCTTTCTGTTCTGTATTTGTGTACAGTACCTTTATGAGAGGTTTCCAGCAGAGATCTAGATGCTTTAAAGTATCTAGAACATCAGGGGGCATATAAAGTTTTTTCTCCTCTTTCACTTTCTCAGATGAGGATTGTTCAGCAAGTTTGGTGGCTGGAATATCCCAAAATAATATTGAGCTGCAAAATTATTGTACAATATTACTCCCTGGTTTTGTTTCAAAGTTTCATCTTCCAACTTTACATAGCAATAGACTGAAAAGCAGGCAAATGCTTGGTATTTAATCGCTTCTTTTGTAAATAATGGCATATATTCCTTTGTTCACCATTTCATCGGTTGCTAACTATACCAAAGCAGCCAGATAACATTGATACAGTTTACTTATGGAAAGTTACTGGGTGAAATTACTGGCACTACCTGGGTAAAACTCCTGGAGGCTCAGAGAACTGGACAGAGCTCTGTAGCAAGTAATCTAGTAATCCAAATCGGATCTCATTCCCAACGCACGTGTGCATCAATTTATTTGCTGACATTCAGGGCAAATGGTCCCACTCAGCTGAATCTGTCATCTCACTGGAATTTTCAGTGTTCCTGTTGCCCTACTCTGGACATTGACTTGCAGATTTGGTATAGATGATAGTTTTCCTCACTGCTGACATATCTCTCCCTTTTCTAACAGGAGTTGCTCAGGGACCCGTGCTCTTCATGGATGACATTGTAGTGATTTCCCTGTGCTTATTTTCAGTGAATACTGAAATTTTGGAGGCCTGGTGTGTGAGTACTTTGAGGGGTTTTTTTTCCATGTGCATTACCTGCATTACACTGCAAACAATTTCTTAACAATCGTATTTGCAATCACTGTTCTAACTTAATTCTTGGAATTCTTCTCTGATTTTGATTAGGAAAAATAACTTTGTGTCATTATCTAATTTTTCTGGCTCTGACCCTCCTTTTGATGTAACTAGCAAACATCTGATTGATCCCAGCCATGCAGCCTTGAAGTCTTAAGCCTTTTGCCATCATGAATGCTAAATACTTATTTGGACTTTTTGCATTCTGCTGCCTTGCCAGTCTTTCACACAGGGTGGTATTTACTCACAACCATCATGACTATTTAGTCCACAAAAGAGGAGATTCATACAAAATAATCTTGCCAGCTAAGTCTCCAAGTTTAAATCTAGTTTACAGTATTTCTTTGTCTTCAAAATCATTAATAACTTTTTGTGCAAGAGTCACAGAATCAATGTAAGTGCGGTGGTGTGGCTCTTCAGGCCAATGCATGCGTGACCAACATGCGTCTTAAGGGATACACAGAATATAAACATACACATGTGAGGGTTTTCAGTTATGAACCCTTAATGCCATTACTATAAGGGGCTTAACTGGCTGAGAACTTGATGCTCTTGTCTTCTCCATACAGAATTTCAGCTATTCAGGATAGGCTGATGAGAATCCAGAAGTGTGCTAGTTAAATCATGGAGTGCACTCCATAAAGCTTTCCAAAGGAGACTGGAAGACTTAAGAGTATGTATTGTATATACCAATCAGGGGAGCAGGTTACAAGCTGCACGCAAATTTCAGCTCTGTTTTCAAAAGTAGAACCCATTCCGTTGTCCTAAAAATAACAGTAGTAAGAGTTACAGGAGGAGATGATGATGAGAGACAACAATTCTATCTTTCTAAGTACATAAAATGGGCTTCTAGAAATCAACTCACTGTTTCTGCTTGGGTAAAGCTTAAGAATCAGGATTTATTAACCCGTAGTTATAAAGTTAAGACATTTTACAAATGGACTTTAAGTGAACAGATATCAGCGTTGCCTGTTAGGCACCTGCAATTCTCAATGAAGTCAGCAGGATAAATACTTGCTGGTACGACTGCTGGTACAACCTCCTTAGGTTGCCACGTTTAACCAAAAAGCAGATCATTGAGAAATTTATCTCAAACAGTTAAGTGCTTTGGGAGTGATCGACCTTTGCCAAGGTTACACCACGGGTCATCTCTCTTGAATTATCACTCAGTTAGGCCACACTGCGGGATGGTAGCAGTACCTTCACATGTTAATCAGTAATAGTTTAGTTTGTGTATGTGGGGTTCTGCAGGTTTTATAATATTTATCATTTACCAAGAAGTCATTGTTTTATACCAGATTTATTTTAATCTATTCAGAAAAGTAAAGGAAAGGTGGTGGGTGGGGACACACACACAAGTCATTATAGGCTATGCCTGATCAAATATAATTTCCAGTTTGTGTAAAACATACACATTTTTGACTAAAACTGTACTTACCAACCATGTGGCAAAGTTTCAGCTACACCTTTTTATTTTTTTTTTTTTAGGCTAAATCCTACTCATTTTCATTCATGATTTGCCTACCTGGAGGCAAAATGGTAGTGTCACAACTGTGCCAAATTGAATTAGGTTCTGGGTACAACTTTTTAATACTTTTTCATTGATAATAAACTGCTGGTTTTGGGAACTGTGCCATAAAAACTGCAATGCTGTGCAAAGGCTGACACATATCCCGTGTTTACATAGCAAAAAGCATGTCCCAGTACATGTTGCTAAATACTGATGAAATGATTCCTTTGTCAGTGTTATTTATTAAGCACAGGCTTCCTGTATCTTTTATCCCAAATAAGCATGAAAACAGCTTTCTGAGTCTAAACCTTGGCAAAAAACCCCCACCCAAGCAACAAAACCCACAACAGCATTCTGCTGACCAATCCCTTTCTTCATCTTATACATCTGGTACCAATTAGTATCCATGGGTACTAGCGTAGCATAATTTAATAACAAACAGTTGTATCAGCTTTCTTTTTATGAAATATGTGCACCCTTTTCCTCACTTTTCCAGTAACATTGCTAAGAACTGCAGTATCTATGAAGATTTAAAAATTTGTTTTCAAAAATTAATTTGCATAAATATTTAAAAGATCTTAATTTTCTTCCTTTTGACCTGCTTTTCCACTGTAGTTATTTTGCATTTGACTACATCTGCATTTCAAATTAACTTGGCAACAATTTGCAGTACTTTGACAGTAAATGAGCATGCAACACTCCTGGAATGGGGTTGGACCTTTTAACTACATAGACCCTAAGTACTATGGAGCTTTAAAACCACCACAGAAAATGTAAGCTTTGAGTGCAACAGGCAGCACCTACAAGAATTAAGGTATCTACAGTCACACCATTCTTAGGTACCTAGATATTTAGGTAATTGAAATTATTTCTCTGAATTCTTGGTGACAGGCTGGATTGCTCATAATAGAAATTCATTGTATTTTTAATATAGAAGGCTTATTGTAATTTTGAATTATAATTTTCAGTAAAACTACAGAAATTTTTTCCAGTAGGAGCAGATTCATATCAGGTTGAGAACACAGCACAGTTGTAAAGCACAATGAACAGGACAAGTGGCACCAGATAATTTAAGATTTAGAAAATGCAGTGAGAAATAAAGAAGGCTGTTACAAATAATTGCATATTTAATATTTTATCTTGAATTTACACTGATTTCTCAGGTAGTAAATTAGGAAGGATAATAATATTATAATAAAATGCAATAAAAACAATAAAAGGAAGAAAAATGAATTTTTAAACTCACCTCAAAATATTCTGGCAGCCAATGTATATCTGTTACTGGCTTTTTATGACTATGCTGCATGGATGAGACTGCGCAGTATCTCACTAGAGGTGGCTCTGTGTTTGTCTGCTGGACTTGCACAGGTGATGGCTAGAAATGTTTTAAAAAGAGATATCAGTGTATTTGCAAAATATAATAGTAGACCTATCAAAGAAAAAAGGTTACTTTAAACACTGTTAATGCTTATGCACGTATTTCAGATCAGTTTAGAGAACTTTCTAGGGGTCTAATATCTTCCCTTTGGGAAAAAAAGGGAAAAAAAAGGAAAGCATCAAAACAGGCCTTTGGATACGAAGCTCTAAAAAGATTTCCAACATGCCTCCACAGGCACATACATATCCACTTATGTTATTAGTTCCTCCTCTGCTCTTAGGTCTCTCTTCTGCTTATCCCCTTTATGGTCTCCTTCCACTGAAATCTGCTTCTCATCTTCCAAGCTACCTTCTTTCTGTCCACAAACTTCCACAATGGTTTTCTGTATTACATTTGGCAACAAACGCTGTATGTATTGGATAGGCTTCATCAGGCAAGAATTGAGTATACGCTGGTGCCCATTACAGAACAGCCCTATCAAAGCCCAGATCTGCACAAAATGCAGTAAAGCTATTCAGCTGGACTAACCAGGTAGACATTATCTTGTGATAATGGGTTTATTTCATGAACTCACCAGGTTTCTTATCCTTTCTAGTCCCTCAATGTAAATATTATCTACACCTCTGTTTTGAGTCAGAATACCTCCACCCATTTTTCCCCACTAACTTGTATTCTAACTTTTGCCTCTCTTCACCCCAGACAGTTGTAAGGCAATATATTTAGAATGGAAGAATTCACCATATCAACAGCTGTCATTTTAATTCCATCAGAAACAGCGTTTGTATTTTGCAGGTTTTTTTCATGTTGAGAAATATCCCACAGTACAACCTACAATGAGAAATTAATATATTACAAAGTATTTCATCCTTTATATTAATAAACTTTTTTTTTTTCTCCAAATATAATTCATGGGTGTTTGGGGAAAAATAAGAAATTCACACTCTACACTAGAACTTGCAAAATCTTTAAGGCATTGCCCCTTCAGTCTGATGAAATCAGTAGAAAGACTATACTTGTCTTGATTTAAAAAAAAAAAAAAAGTCTTTACAGCTTGACCTATTTATCAGTACTGCAGAAATGCAAAGAAGCATCATACAGTAATGGCTCAGCTGTAGACTAACCAGGCATAACTTCAGTACAGGATCAGAGAATTTCTGAGGCTGTGGTATCTGTCTTGTGACACTATGTGTTATTATGGATGTTGAGGACATCTCTTCACCCATATTTTTATACTGTAAGAAAATACAGAAGCACCCAACTTTATTAATAAAATTATAAACACCTGTCCATTGATGCAGCCACCAGCGATGATATTTGGATCACTTGGACTGAACTGAAAGCAGTCAATGTCTTCAGGACACTCTAACATTAACTAGAAAGAAGAAAAACAAAATAATTGAGAAATGCAGTTGTGCTGACTGTTTCTTCTCTTGTTAATTAAATATTTGGCACATTTAAAAGTCTTGATTAAATACCTGAGGGTGGATAGGGTCAAAAAAACTCCAAAGAAGTATTACAGATTGCTGCTGCAATGACGTCTCAGAAAGGTTAACTTGCTCTTCGTAAGAAAGCTTTCTTGCTGACACTGCTACAATCCCTGATTGAGAGAGACAACGAATTTTCTCAGAAGAGACAGTTCAAGTTTCAACATGCTGTTAATTATTCTTAGTGACTTGTATTTATACCTTCTGAATGCAGTGGAAAGAAAAAAAGAAAAAAACCCCGCACCTAACCACATATTTATATTTTTCTTTTTACAGATCAACTCTGGGGAAATTATTTTTGATACTTAAGCTTAAGTTATTTAACAATGAGACACAGAACCTAAGGATCAGGATAAAACTCAACTTTTTTGCTACTATGCCTTAATGGTGTAGTACTGCACTCAAAATGATGTGACAGGCATGTAGTCCTGGCCACCCATCATGAATTCAAATCCTTTGTAGCTGAATTAATTTCCTACCCAGGCTGCAGTGTGGGCTATCAGTATGCTGTGCAGCTAGGACAATTATATAGAACTTAATTGTGCCTCTAAGCCTGGCTGTGTAACGCAATAATGCACGGCAGGGAGCAGGAGGAGACCTTTAGTGTGCTTCCTGATGCTCCCTGGCACTCGGCACAGCCATGTCCCATTGTGGCTCTAACATTCCTCACAAGTATTAGGCATGTTACCAGAACCAGCCATGGAGAGAACAACGGTATCCAGAGCCAGCAGAAGGAACTGGCACAGTTGCAGCCTCACTTAAATGAGTCTCATAAGGGAGAAATTTCCCTTTCCTATCATTCCCGCTTATACATTACTGTGAGGGACTTTGCACGGCCTGTCTGAACTCCAGAAAGAATTTGCTGTCTCCTTATTCACTTCATCTCAAATCAGCAATTCAGACATCATACATCAGATTTGATTTTATTTATTTTTTAGTGTAAAAGCTGGTAATTTTATCCAAGGTGCATATTTTATAGCTGTTGTACAATACAAGTCATTCAAGTCTCAGATCAGTATTTTAACTACGTTACCATAAATGGTTGGATGCCAGCAAACACAGCTAATAGTTCTGTCCTTGAGACCATGGAGATCTGTAAATGATTGGTGTGCTTTAAGATAAACATCTGGCTTGCCACCACAACTGCTTTCATCTTCTGCTAGGGCTTTCCAGTCATCAAAAAAAGCGTTCATAATTTCATTTTGCTGCAATGCAATTTCCATTCTGTTTTGTGAAAAACACAGTAAACACTTTCAAGAATCCAGATGTGACTACTCAGTAGTAGAATCACTAACATTTCTGTAAAGAGACAGCTTTTGTTTTGCATGAAATTATGACCACAGTAGTAAAAAAAAAAAAAAAAATAAAAAAAATTATTAATTCCTCAATGATGCATTGCTGTAAGGAAACCCTCTTCCATTTAAATGTAAATAGCTAATTGTACCAACAATTTAGCTGTAGTTCTGTGTGGATCAAGCACAGTGCAATTGTCCAGTTCTTGCACAAAAAGTGTCAGGAAGTGGGGTTTGTCCTGTGTCTAAGGGCTGTAGGGCACCGCTTTTGCTCTTCTGCATAAGCCTCTGCTTAGGTGAGCAGTGTTTGAAAGATCAGCTTTGCAGCTTGTTTGAAAAGATGTATTGCTACCAAACTTCAACAGTTCCAATATCTATTTAAACCAACATTCATGTTTATATGGCATAGACTTCATGTTCATTTTCATAGAGACAAACATTAAGTTAATATTGGTTAATATTAAAATAATAAGCAAGGGAAAAAAACCCCAAACAACAACAAAAAACACCAAAACCAGTATATAGAAGCAAAAAATATATCAGTATTTGACCAGACCAACGGTCCACTCAGACAAGAATTCTTGCTTGTATTCTGTATTATTTCAGGTAGCCTTTAATGTGTATTGCTGCAGTAATTTTACCTTAAATGTACTGATGTAAGAAATTCTTTCAGCTTCTCAGATAGCAGACTCTCTTCTTTCTCTTCATTTGACAACTGCCTAGGAATATACTGTGTGGCTGCATTTTTTGGATAGGTCCTAATCAATTGGAATAAATTTGAATGTCAGTCAGTAGAGAAACAATTTCCAAGGCAGAAACCCACATAATGTGTAAAATTAAAAGCTAAGTATACCCAGTTTTTATAGAAACTCTTTGGAAAAGAGTGAAAGAAGATAGATGCAAACAGAGCATTCAATTCTGTTCTCTTAATCAAGCTGGTAACTGAATAACTCCAGAAGAGTTACTTACACAGCTTTGGCTGAGATGACAAACAGTGCGTAGCTTAATAAATAAGCTGATAAATATTTTCTCACACTTACCATTTTGTCTGAGTACTAGCTTCTCTTACTTTTGGAACCATCTGTATGCCCACATCTTTTTCAAGCATTTTAATACTGAAAGTTTTGTCTTGATAGGATGTGCATTCAACATAACTGTCTGTTACATGTGAGGCATTCTTATCAGTAAATGTAATTGGTGCACCAAACTTCCTGCGTACTCGAGAAATCATATACTTAATCTGGAAAAGAGTTATTTCTGTAGTTAGCAGAGGAGAAACTTTTTGGAAAGTTCACTCTGTAAAATGACAGCATTCATGTAACTGTAGAATTAGTTCTATTGATGATTTCTGCGCTGATATTACTTACATTGCTGCATTTGGAAATTCTGAAGTGCTCATATAATTAACCTCCATATTTAATAGAAAGCAGGTTTGTATTTCCAAAACAAGAAGTTGCCTTTAGGTAATGTTTTGGATTACTGCTATTAGGAGAAAAGAGAATTACATTTTCTGATGCGTGCAATATCAAAACTGCACCTTCAATTAAAGGACTGATTTTCAGGAGGTCTTATGTAGTACTGCATTGCACTTCCAAGATCCAACTTTTCAGCCCTTCCCTCTTAGTGCTACTGTCAACTTTGGGTGAGGTATAGAATTGTAGAACGGTTTGGGTTGGAAGGGACCTTAAAGCCCATCTAGTTCCAACCCCCCTGGCCATGGGCAGGGACACCTTCCACTAGACCAGGTTGCTCAAAGCCTCACCCAGCCTGGCCTTGAACACTTCCAGGGAAGTGTTCACAGCTCCTCTGGGAAGCCTGTTCCAGTGTCTCACCACCCTCTCTGTGAAGAATTTTTTTCCTGATATCAAATCTAAATCTCCTAGTTTTCAATTTAAACCCATTACCCCTTGTCCTGTCACTACCAGCCCTTGGAAAAAGTCCCTCTCCAGCTTTCTTGCAGGCTCCTTCAGGTACTGGAAGGTGCTATAAGGTCTCCCCGGAGCCTTCTCTTCTCCAGGCTGAACAAGCCAACTCTCTCAGCCTGTCCCCATAGCAGAGGTGCTCCAGCCCTCTGAGCATCTCTGTGGCCTCCTCTGGACTCGCTCCAACCGGTCTATATCCTTGTTATGCTGAGGGCCCCAGAGCTGGATGCAGTATTCCAGGTGGGGTCTCAGAAGAGTGGATGGGGATAATACCCTCCCTCACCCCACTGGCCACGCTTCTCTGGATACAGCCCAGGATAAGGTTGGCTTTATAGGCTGTAGTGCCTAGTACCCAAAAATTTGAGTGAGGAGTTTCCTTATAGTGGAACTAGGAAGAAAGAAGGTATGTGGCTTGACTTCTACCCACAAAGAGAGGTAGGTGCTTGATTTCAGGCAACAGAGAGGTATTGCTTTGTTCTGGATTCATAGCCAGGTACTTTTTCCCAACACCTCCTACCGAAGTGGAAAGGAATGTAGTCTGAGAATACTTCGGAGTGAACCTTGCAAGCAAGGTAGGATGCAGAATAGTTGGACTGTGAATGTGGTTTAAATTTAGCGACTGAATTAGCTTTAGAACAATAAGACATCTTTCTAAGCAAGATTTCCAGCTTCTGAGAACTATCAAAGCTTAGCCTGTTTTCCCTGAACAGGGATTTAGGTGTTGAGTAAAAATCACTGATGGACAGTTAAAAGCCTGGAGATGCCACATACATCAGAAGTTAGGTGACAGCTGTGAGTGGATCTACTTTTTGAACATATCATTTTCTCTGTATAATCTGAAGATGTAGTTAATCAAATATGTCCTTCTGTAAAGTCAGCTTGTAATACCTATAGTCAGTAACATTTATTCTGAGGTAGAGAGCCCTTAAAACTGTTGCATGCTACTTAAATGTCATCCATATAATGAAACAGATTGCTCTGGGCTCCATGGAAACAGAACTAGGTCCTTAGAATGTAATTACAATGACTCAACTTGAAATGTGGCCAGATAGTAAACCGAGCAAAAAGTGGCAGAGGTGCTAATGACAAAAGGTGAACAGAACTATTGAAATTCCAGCTTATCGAGTAGATATGTTCAATGCAGTCTCACGTGCCTGGTTTGCAGGATGCAGAGAACAGTTATATAAACAAACCAAAAGTTTCTGCAGCACTTTGAGGTTTTGTTAAAAATTGAGCTATTTCTCTATTTCTCTTTTTTGTTTTCTTGAAAAATAGGATTGCAACTTTCAGTTTCCTGACTTCTATTTTAAGGAACTTAATTTAAAAAAAAAAAAAAAAATATTCGATTAACTAACATCTCTTGTGTCTGACCTTTGTAACAGTGTCTTTAACAGTTTCTTCTTCAATTTCCTTTTCACTGCCGAGAGAAACCCACGGTTTGCGGACAGGAGGCTTATAAGGACAGAATTCCAGAATTCCCTCTCCATTTTCTTCTTCTTTTTCTTCTTCTTTTTTTCCTGCACTTTCTGAAGGCTGTGACTTCAAACAGTGAGAAATGGTACTTTAAAAAAAAAATTGGCACTGAAATGTAAGTATGAACTAGAAACGGAGTTTTCAGTCTTTATTTGCACGTTTTTTACCTTTGTCTTTATGCAGTAAGTCTGGCTGTACTGTGCCCCTGGGAACAATTGGGTTAGGTCCCATTCATCATGCATTTGTGAATTAGAATTTTCCAATAAATGTTACTTATTTAATATTTAATTAATAAAGAAATCCTGTCTTGAAGGCAAATCACTGTTATACAAAAGGAATTTATAATGATTTTCTACATTAAGCCTTCCTGCTTGGAACTGTAATTTGCTTTTCTATTAATTGTTATTTCTTCTGATGCTGGGTGACAAACTCATGTTGAATAATTACATTATCTAGCCATAAACCTTCTCCTATGATGCAATGCACCAGGGGAAATCTTCTAAGTATCTAGAGTCATTTAGAACTCCAGAATGCTTTGAAGTATTATTTGAGGAAAAAATATATATATTGTGAAAAACAAGTATAATATTTCTTGGAAGATGCTCGATATATTATACTCTTTTATTTTTATGTCTGTCTTAGAAACCTGGGTCTTGACAGAGGAAATCAACACTTATGATAAAAATGCAGCCATGAGGGTTATACTGGCCCTCTGAACTAAAATACAAAACTTGAATTCAGTCTTACTCAATATAAAATAAATGTTTACAGTGATACATGTATTTTTTTCATCATCAGATTAACCTTTGGAGAAACATTCTGGTATGCCAAGTACGTGAGATGCTTATGAATACAATACCATTCCTACAGTATATGTTTGAGACAAGATTCTGAAATATGCCTAGATAGAACCATGCTGTGGTATACTTGCATTTTCTTACCTTCAGAAGGTTTTCCTTGGCTTCCTCAGAAGCAACAAGGTAAAAGTTCTGTCCGTACTGCAACTTTGCATCAAAGACCACCAAAAGTTCTTCCCCTGGATATTCCTATTTTAATTAAAACAATTAGTGGAAAACTGAAAGCAAATAACATACAAAATAGACATGAGCCTGTGACTGGTAAAGCTACCACTAGTGTAAATTCAGTGTCTTTGGTCAATCTCGTGGCTTTAACAGAGAATTTCATGTGCTCATTGAAAAGAACAGATGGTTTTTATGTCATAATAAAAATAAGTCTGGGACAACAGTAATCTTTTCATACAGAGAATTAAACAGAAAAGAAACCGTTTTAATGATTCTTAATAAACAGACCATGAATTAGGGGAAGTGAATATATGTGAAGCTCTGTCAGTCCATGGAATCAAAACTAGTAATATTTATGCTACTTTTAGCATGTTTTCAATCTAACGTTAGTTAAAAAAAAGTGCATGTTGAGCCATGAGAAACTTTGAGTTGACAGTGTTCCGTGACCTATAGCCTTTGGATATTACAGCATTAGCGTATTGACACAGAGTCAAGCAAGGACAGATCTTGTGGTTAAAAGAACACACACTCTGAAGGAATGAAGTCTTAAAGTGAGAACAAAATAAGCTACATACCAGGACAACTTTTTTGACAGGGTGGAAATCAGAAATTGTAGATCTTGTTTTCAAATCCTGAATGATGTCCTCTTTTTTAATAACTTTGAAACAATTTTCTTCTGTGACATCTTCATCAATTCGGCAATTAAAAATTTCTTGAGTCTTGCTAGTGAAAACTAAAGGAAAAATTTCTGGGTGGCCTATGAAAGAAAACAAAATTGCTTGATAAACAAATCCAGGGTGGTGTTTAAACATAAACATACACTTTAATAACTCTGGGTCTTTACTGTTTCCTAGCAGAATGCCTTTGAATCTCTCAGGTTTTGGTATTCTGGAAGGCATTGTAATACAAATTACATTTTGAAAATCTTGGAAATGATTCTACCTAACATTTCCTACTTAATTAATGTTATTCCTAGTATGAGGGTTTTTTCCTCTCGGTCAACACGTGATTAAGAACTTCAGTGAAGAGTCATTAATGGACTGCTTTTTAATAGGTTAAGGACACAACTGCATAGCTCTGAATTAAGAGAGCCCTTAAATAAATACAGGCTAGTCCTTCCCTGTAGAGTGGTGCCATGTTAAGCCAATGTTTAATCTAGATGAGGCTTTAATACCTTCCCAAATAAGGATGCTTTTCAATTTTGGACTTTCATCCTCCTCTCATCGAGTTTAGAGTGTAGTTGAGTCTATTTCTCACTAAGCAAGTGAAACCACAGCAAGGTCACTAAGATTAAAGCCAGATATTAATTTTCAGCTTTGCTGGAGAATATATGTCTGTTGTCATTTACACACATGCTGTCTGTTAGGTTCCTTCATATTAACTCAGATTCTTATCCTGGCTCCAGCACCGTTATCTTTGTTGGTTTTAGTGAGGCTGGGTGCAGTAAGGTGACCTGTCAACTGCACTTGCAAACAGTCAGTCTGAAGATAATATACAGTGCTTCTCGGTGAGCGTGTGTCCACTGTATGTGTGTTAACACCATCTTCCCAAATGGCGTTTTCTGCCTTCTGGCTTGCATAGCAGCTATAAGTGATTAAGATTACTATAGGCCCAGATAGTTGAATCCTGCTGCCTAAGAGACTCTTTTCTTCCTCTGCAATACTGCCACGCTAGCGGACTCATGCTCTCTCTCAGCTGCCATAGTAAGAGCATTCTTCATGAAGACCACTATACTTTTGTCTGAGAAGGTGAGTGGATGTTAACTTTGAATGTTCATCTTTTTGATAAACTGGAAAGTCTAAAAAATTTAGGGACATGTACGCATGGGATTTTTATGTACTGAAATGGGCTGGCTTTTTTGATAATAGATGATACCTTCTATCACATTTGTTTAATTCTCTTTTCTTAGTTCGAGTTATTTAATATTTTATCTTAATTCCCAGCTCCTGTAGTATTTTTCTCATTGTGTATTGCCTTAAATTGAAGTTGCTATATCTAAAATAATGATATTCACCAGTTGGCTCAGCAGGTTTTGAGAAGCCATCTCTAACCTAGCCATCAAGGACTGACAAAAAGATAAAGCCTCCTTAATCTCTAGCATTTGGGAAGCTAAATCTCTGCATAAGCCTATCACATAATACATTATGTTTGATGAATCTGACATTTATCCTTTAAAATCTTTCAGTGCTGCTCCTCCACTGCACCCGCTCTGCTAGAGACATCACTAAAATTAATGACACGTATGATGCTTCTGGTACACCCTGCACTATACCAAGTATGATTTACTTGGCATTCACTAGTTATTTTGTAGCACGCACAATCCACTTGTGGCATGCACAGTTCATTAGTTCATTTTCTTCACAAGTTGTAGTCAATATTGCATGACCTTCCTTTTTGATATCTCAGAGATTCCCAGGATTTCTGTGTGGATGCTTCCAAAAAATATAAAACCATAGGGATGTTGATTGGGAAAGGCCTCTGAAACTCATCTGGTCCAAACTTACTGTTTGGTAACACCATACCTAGCCAGAACTCATTTATCTTCCAGAGTCTCTGTGCTTGCCGTTTTGACATCTACTTACTGTAGCTAATGAGAATCTATATTACAGATTCTGTAGAATCATAGAATCAATCTTTTAGGTTGGAAAAGACCTTTAAGATCATCAAGTCCAACCATTAATCTAACACTGCTAATACCACCACTAAACCATGTCGCTAAGTACCTCGTCCACACACTCTTAAATACTTCCAGGGATGGTGACTCAACCACCTGCCTGGGCAGCCTGTTGCAATGCCCGACAGCCCTCTCAGTGAAGACATTTTTCCTAATATCCAATCCAAACATGCCCCAGAACACCTTAGGGCCACTTCCTCTGGTTCTATTGCTTGTCCGCTGGGAGAAGAGACCAACACCCACCTCTCTGCACCCTCCTTTCAGGTAGCTGTAGAGAGCGATAAGGTTTCTCCTGAGACCCTTCTTCTCCAGGCTAAACACCCCCAGCTCCCTCAGCCGCTTCTCACAAGACTTGTGCTCCAGACCCTTCCCCTGCTCCGCTGCCCTTCTCTGGACACAGTCCAGCAATGTCTTGAAGTGAAGGGCCCAACACTGAACCCAGGATTCGAGGTGCAGCCTCACCAGTGCCCAGTACAGGGGGACAATCACTGCCCTGGTCCTGCTGGACACACTGTTCCTGATGCCAGCCAGGATGCCAGTGGCCCTCATGGCCACACTGCTGGCTCACATTCAGCCAGCTATCGACCAACACCCCCAGGTCCTTTTCCAACGGGCAGCTTTCCAGCCACTTATTTCCAAGCCTGCAGCATTGCAGGGGGTTGTTGTGACCCAAATGCAGGACCCAGCACTATGTTATTATGTTACAGTATATAGTATAACATAAGCAGCTGATACTGAAATTCTTACTATTATGAACATTTTTATTAAATGCTGCTTTCCAGTAAAAAGTTTGTACTATCTAATTAGAAGTTTCACACTGTTCTTCTAATAGTAAATTGTGCTCATATAATTTGTAACAGTCTACAGCTCTTTGTGCTCTAAGAACTTCACAGACCACAGCAACAGGTTGCTGGCAGTAGTTCAGATATTATGGCTCTGACTTTATTTGCCACTAGGTGGAGGTAAAATTCTGTCTTACTGACAAAACATTTTTTTTTAAAGTAACACTTTCATCATCTGGGGGATCCCTTATTGTGCGTTTTCATTAATTGCAACTTAGCCATCAGAGTGCAGTTTTCACTTCCACCCATGTGCTCATAGTGTTATGTAGGAAGACAAGTGATTTATGATTCCTTTAAAAACTACCTAGTTTGATTATTCCTAGTTTGCCACATTGATTTAGCTTTTAGTAATAAAAGCTAATTAAGAAGATAACCCTTTGGGCTGTTCCTGTAAACTGTAGATAAATTTTACATTGACATCAATTTAAATGATACCTGATGAAGAATTGCACAAATCAGGTCAGAAGAAAAAACTCACACAGAAATACTAAGAAAAAAAAAGGTTGGTGTTTAAGAAAAAAGAATATACTTCAAATAATTCCGGATTTTAGCTCTTAACTATGGCCACACTTAAAACTGCACTTTTCTTGCACATAAGCTTAAAGAAATGCTTGATAATCTTATAACTTTAAAGGGCAGATTTTTTCCCCTACAAAGCAAAAGATGTTAGTCAAGGTCTATTGATATCTATGATTAAAAACCACAAATGATATGCTAAAATCATCTTCTCACCAGATTTAATAATGATTTGACAAAGATCAAGATTTAAAAATGAAAAAAAATTTCAAGTTTTTCTTTCAATTGCTTAATTATTACTAACTGCAAACATTTTGCACCCATAATTCTGTTGTGATGGTTTTAGTTTCCCATGATCCCAGTTCCTCTCAACCCAAGACAAAAACATATACAAACCCATGCTTGGTTTCAGAACTCCTTGCTGCATCCCCTGCTACTCAAGAGAGTGGTACTGTAATCACCACTGTAATAGCTGCATGTCTTCATAATTTCTAATTTTTCTCATTCGTTAAGAAATCTTTCCTTTTCATTTCCTGGAACTAGTATACACTGAAGCTTCAAAATGCTTAAAGTATTCCAAAGCTATTATTTTAAAGCCCAGTCATCAAAGCACTTACCTATATCAGCCATAGAAAGATCAGTTTCATCTTTCTTACCTGAAATAGAATATGATGTTATCAGTAATTTTTCTTCCAAACAAAGTAACTGTAAAGTTACTATAAAGTAAATATACAGTCTTCTCCTTGTTAGGGTAATATTTAAAATCTCTCCATATATTTAAAACTAAACCATGAAGAGGAAACAAAAAGCAAAGTAATTTCTATTCAGCTCAAAGGTAAAAAAAGAAATAAGTGAAGCCTTTTAAAATAGATCTGTAACTTAAGGAGATGTTAGCATATTTTGAAACTATGGAGATTTAAAACTCATTTTTATTTTGAGCAGGTGGTCTGCATATGAGAGAAGCCACGAGAAAACTGTCGTGTTGTGGTGCACACTGCAGTTTCCATGGCTGAAAACGACACTGACAGCTACCTGCTAGCACGTGCCTGGGGCAATTCCCAAGCCAGTCATGCCATGTGAAGAGGAGAGGAATGGGCAAGGCTCGCTATCATCGGACAGCAGCAGAACTGGGAGGTGTGCAGGTAGGCACAGACGTTGGTCTCCTCTGACCGTGGTGAAGTGGGCAGGCTTGCTGCGGGTGGCAGGGTGCTGCAGGAGTCGGGCTTGCTTCAGCTCCAGAGAGAGGGTCTACAAACCCCACAGCGAGGTAGGACAGGCAGAGATTAGCACTGATGTGCAGAATATTCTCTGCAGATCAGCTATTAATCAGCTGGGAGGGAAAAGGTGGTTGAAAGGCAAACCCCATAAAACAAAACAAAAAAGCCCCAAACAAGAGTACATTCCCACCTTTTCTGAGAATGCACATAAATCATTGCAAAAAAAGTATCTGTATATAGCAAAGGCTCGTTAGCCGTACACTTAATTAACTATACACTTTTGTACACTCTTATTGAACCTTTACAGTGTGACCCTGAGCACTTGAACTCCTGCCTCTGGGGGCACCTCTCTGTCTGATGCTCTCTCTCTGGGCAGTTAGCTTTTGTGTATCTCCCCACTTCATATATATTAAACCTCCCAATTTCCCATTCAGTATTGTTATGGCACCACAAATGATTAAGTCTAAACTACCAAGACAAAGTGCAAATATTGCAACGTAGTTTTGTTCCGTATGTTGGTTACAAAATCATAATCAGTAATTGCAGATCTCTGTCACTTACATAAAATAGCATATTCTAATTTATATCATATTTATTTAAATGCATGGACTGAAAATGATTGAGGTAATTGTCATGTGAGGCCAGATTGCTGCTTGTTTCGTTGCTGCTGTACCTTACATACCAAGCTGTGTTCGTTGTCCCTTCGAGGATCCCTTAGCTCTGTTTTCACCTTTCTGTTTCTTTGCTGAGGTTTTTGGCCCTTTCACAGGGGTCTTGCTGGGTATGAGATTTTCCGACATTTTTTCAGATTTTTCTAGAGAAAGATACATATCATTGATGCACTTTAAACAGATAACAGAACGCACCATGCATGAGTTAAAATTTGGCCCATGACTTTATGTTGCTTATCATTATAGTAGTGTTCTCACCTGCAACTAAAATTATGTTCCAGAATTTTAAATTGTATTTTGGTAAGATACGGAATAGACAGAAATACTTTTTCTATCCAGAGTGATCCAAAACAGTGAAAGGCTAAATGAGGACGGAGGTTTCCCTTACAGAAAGCTCAGGACCTGAGCTATGGTGTGAAGAGTGCGGGTGAAAATTCTCCAGTTGTAAAGATTTGTCCCAATGTTCTTAAGTGTAAAACATTACTCACTTGGACAAAACATTTCTGTGCTTTTCCATTTCCATTTTATTTTTCAGCGCAGCTCTGTGGAGGACAAACTTGGAAAGAAGTTGTATGCGTAATTACATGCAACAACCACCCAGCTGGAGACGACACTGTATAGACTGCTACTCTTGTTTCATTCACTCTGTTTCTTCCCAATATCCAGAATGAGGATGAGAACGGCAGCATAGGAAAGGCTCAGTTCCATTGCCAAGAAGGAAATGCAATACAGCCTGCCCTCTGCGCAGACCAGGCAGCACCCCACCACGAAGCACACTGCCAGCACCATCAGGTGGAAGGTACGCACATGGCAGCCAAGAGAACCACTCAGTCGGGACGGTCCCAGTTCGGTTATGGAAAGTACTAAAAATTGTTTGAGGTTATTGCTGAGCAGCTAGAGGCATTCAGCCGGGATAAGGGCAACAATAAGGTTTGTGTCTCTCTCGTCCATGTTTCCTCTTGTTTGTCTAAGACTGCAAGATGACTGGGAGAGGAACCATTTTTAAATCTCAGTACAGCACCTACAGTATTTGGATGCCATTATGATTTTAACGCTAATAAGAGGAAAGCAGAAGCACTTACAGGACAGAAGGAGACGGCACCTTCAAGGACTGTGTCGTGACACAACAGTTTCTGATGAGCAGGAGCTACAGCCAGTCTGCCCGCACGGGTGAACAGCCCGTTTACTGGCAAGATGCTGAAGGTGAAAAGGTGAGTTTACAGAATAAATGTTCTACCTTGAGATTTTCCCCGTGAAAGGCCTAAAATAGCATGAGTGTTAACACAAACACGCTGTGGCCTGTGCATTGGCAATTTCAGTGGCCATCCTGGCTCTGGGATGTTCTTTCATTCCCACATGGAGAAGTGGTGGGTTTTTTTTCTGTTCTGTAACACAGTTCTCAAATATTCCAGCAGAAAGCAATGTAATTTTAGCTTCCAATCTAAATTTTAGTTTGGAGATGGCCACTGATGGCAAGATATGGGTCATGGATTATAGCCTGGGCTTGGGATCTATGTTAACTTCCCATGAATTCCAGGTAAATTTTGCTGTTGACTCTAATGGGAGCAGAGGCTGTCACTCTTATTAGAGTTATGCATTTTTCTTTTCACTCCAGTCAAAATAGAAAAGTATACTCTATAAATCCTCAGGCTCTTTTCTCTATCATACTGGATCTTGCAGATGACAGGGGACAGGCTGCATCCATGGGATGTTTGTGCATTTCTCTGTTGTTGGATCAGCATAGCAAACACAGTCCCCTTGACTGACCCATCTGAATAACTGTAGCAATGTAACCTTCTGCTTTTTCCAAAAAGCAATAATAATACAAATCCAAAATGGATTAATGTTTCAGAATTCTGAAACTTTTGCTTTGCAAGGGGCAATGTTTTTGGAAGATTAGAAAAAAAAAAATCACAAGTCACATATAATGAACATAAGGAGAAAGTTGGGGTTTTTCTGCCCTCATTCTCAGAGTCTTTTTGTCAAATACAGGACTAAAAACACTGATGATATATTTATGGCTAACATTCAATATATTTTCCCAGTTATAATCTTTCAAAGGAGCCTCTACACTGAACAATATACTTACTTTATAGTTCTGAAACATTTAGGGCTACCTAACTTAGAACACATGCCAATTCAGAGGGTTAAAAGAGGCTAGTTTTGGTTTGGGATTTTTGGGGGTTTTTTTTAAGGGAAAAAAAAGCACAAAGCTATTTCTTATCTATCCACCTCCTTCTATATGTAAGAAAAAAAAAAATTGCAGCCCATTTTACAAATGGATTCTGTGGCTACTCTAATTTGAAACCAACCATGATGCCTCTGGATAAAAGAGACAGCCCTCCAGGATAGGGTGAGAAGCCAGCTGTTTTAGAAATTATTTGGAAGAAAATATGAACCATCTCATATATATTAAAGTCACATTGCCTTACTTCACCATTTCCTAATTATACACTGAAACAAAGCCAGTTTGGAAATGTTGAGTTCTTTCTTTTGAATAACCTAAACCCTAAGTCACATGAATAGAGGAAACGCTGAGAGGGCTGAGATAAGTCACATGCCTGTGTTTAGTACAATAACTTGCAAGTAAAAACATACATTTGCTTTCGGCTGACTTCAAGTATGCCTATAAAAACAGCTAAAATTTTTCAAAGTTGTCTCCCAGTAACACAGTTCCTCCTGCTTTACTGTAAAAATCAGGCGCGGAGGTACACACAGCACTAGGCAGATAAGGGCAGTGCTGGTGAGGGCAGCGTGGGTGACGGAGCGTATGCATATGCGGGTGTTAATATGAAAAGTGTCCCCGTTCGAGGGTTGCAAATGAATACAGCAACCCATAGGCCTGTTCATGGTTCCTCCTGTGATGCACAGAACCTCACCAACTGGAAAACAGATAGAAAAGTACAGCGAAATTATCTCCTTTTACAATACCCCTAATACCATATCACGTCTGCCCATTTGTCATCCTGTGGGCATAGGGTTGTTGGTGGTTAGGGGACACGTTAATGCCTCCAGAGACAGCAGAGGCAGAACTTCCCTGGAAGCATAACCAAGCTCATAGCCATTTACAAAGCACATATGCAAAGGATTATGCTGCTAACCCCCAGGTGCTCCCTGCAGGAAACCACCACCCACGGAGAATTTTAAAATAGATACTTAAGAGCAAACTTTTGCACCCCTCCTCTTCCAAGAAGGAAATAAAGGAACAAAAAGCCTAATGGTTCTTAATGTGTAAGATAAAAGCTATTATTTTCAGAAGTTAATTCTTACTTCAGCTGATTGGTTTTGTCCACTCCCTAAGTTTTTACACAAAGTGCCGAATCCTATCAAGAAAACCATGGAAAAAAAATGGTGTTTGTATTAGAGGACTGTCTAAAAAGAGGACAAAAAAGGTAATTGCTTTAATCTGTGGTTAGTTCCTAACATCTTAGGGATATTTCTATATTGCTTATTAGAAAGGACTGTAATACATGTATTTGTCCAGAAACATGCAAATGTATTATGCCTTTCCATTAATGCTTCTATAAATTCACGATTCTATGATTGAGAAGAGAGGTTGGAAACAACATTTCAATAAACATAACTTGAAAAAATTAAGACTGCAAAACCTACAAAACAGAATAGTTCTTGAAAATCAATTCTCATAAACATTGCCGTATATTTTATTTTTTTAAAGTAGGTAATATTAACATTTCATTAAACATGTTCACTCTATTTTTTCAGCAGTTTTTCAGTGGAAGACAGTATTAAATTATTTAATTGGTAAAGCCAAAGTAAATATTTGACAAGTTTGACATTTTGGAGCCTGGTTTATTTATAGATGTCTATAATATTTTGAACATTAGGCTTGAGGAAAAAATAAGATCAGAATGTTCTAATCATTTAATGTACTGAAACATTTACAATTCTAAAACAAATCTGCAAAGTTGCTAGGAACAGCAAAAGGGGAAAGTTAATTAGCTATCAGCACGACAGAAGATGCTGTCTGAACTGAGGACATGGAATGATTCATTAGTTGTCTAAATGAATGATTTAAAGTCAAGCCTGTGTGCATTACTAATTTAGCACTGTGATTTACTACAGTTTGGAACGACAGAAGGATTGAGTGCACATCCATTTAACAGAAGCACTACAAGGAAATTGTCAAAAACATGTGCTACTTCCTTTTTTTGTTTTTGTGTCACTATCAAGTTAAAAATCGCATTTCTGTCTGTAAATATTTAGGAACGTGTTAAAAATACCATCTTGAGAATGACCTGATCTCTCCACAAATTCATGTACAATGTTGCCTGTTATTAAATTTATTCTACTTTGCTCTACAGAAAAAGCAAATAATACAAACACCTAAAGCTTGTATTATTGATAATGCTTGTGCATACTTAGATAAAACTTCACTGTGTAAGCTGTAGGGAGTAAAGCTGTAGTTTTGGCAACTGCCAAATCATTTTACCGCATGAATAGTTCTATTAGAATGTACCTGATTTCACACATACAATTTTTCCTTAAATTAGGCCTACTTGAACCAGGCGTATGTACTTTTTGTTACTTGATAGAAATCAGTAGAGGTGTAGTTACAGGCTCTGGGATGATACGTACAATACATGTAAAATTAGGTTAAGAGTTAGTAAGAAGGACATAGAGGACAAAACTGAAAACTTCATGAAAACACTGGATAATACTGTGTTCTGTTTCTGTCTTTTCTTCCATTCAAACCAAAATAGAATAGAATTGCAAAAGGTACAACGTGGATGACAAGATATGGAACATGTTTTCTACTAAGAATAAACTACGATTCTTTTTAGCCTGGACTGAAGAGGATACGCTAGAAGTCAATAAAATCATGAGAGGCATGGAGAAAGTGACCAAGGGATGATTATTCAGTCTTTTGTAATACAAGATGTAGCTGGTATCACATGAGCTTAGCAAGGGACAGGCTGGAAACAAACAAAAGGAGTGCAGAAGCATTCCATTGCACAATAGGTAGTTGAATTATGGGGCATACTGCCAAAAGTGCACAATTTCAAAAAGTAACAGGGCAAAGTGACAAATGAAAAAATTAGGGATACTAAAAATAATGATGATCCCTCTGGCTATAGAAATGAAGCCATAATTGCAAGAAAAAAGGGTATGAAGAGTGGAGGTATGGCTTTATAATAATCTTGCCCAGGCTCTTAACTGGCCCAGACAGAACTTCTGGTGTGAGCCAGTACAGCTGGTCTATGTTATTTGGTTGGCACTTCGATAGTTCATGATACCTGTCATGACATGATGGTGTGAGGAAGCGAACAGCAGCATAAGTTGCCTCGTTATGACTTTCGAACCAGAAAGGTTGTATCGTAAAGATTTACACCGATCAAGACTTTTTTCTTTTCTTTTCTTTTTTAGCAAAGGTAAGAAAAATAATCATCTCCTGTTTGAGCCGTGAAAGCTCGGTTGCTGAACAGTCACGTACCGAGACTGGGACGGGGGCAGGGGCTGGCGGGTCATTCGCAGAAGCACAGGGGGTCCGGCCGCTGGGGCTGGGGCTCCGCTCCACGTTGGAGGGAGCCCGGGTCCGCCCGGTTCCCCCCAGCTTCGGTACTGCCGCCCCGAGGGC